CCTTCGCCAAAGACCACTGCATAGAGCTGTGGAAAATCTGCAGCAGTGATGAAGGCCATGGGCGCTACGGTGTCTGTGGAGGACAACACCGAGGCCAGGACCTCGAGATTCTGAAAACATCTGAAAATCACAAGTCAATGTGGAGAGAGAATGGACCTGGACTGAAAAGATCATTAGTGCGCTATCCAGCGTCCTAGCTAGGCTCTTCCTATTGCTGGTATAGCTTACTTCTGCCTTAATTACTTACTTAAGTAGGCGCCTAAGAAAGGGCGGGCTAAACAAATACCACAAGTCCAAGTGGGTGATCGGAGTTCAGGTGCAAAGAGCGGGAGAATGGCTTTCCGAAGACCAACGAGGACAAGACATACAGAAGCACCTTTCTTTTTTTGGTGCAAAGGCTAGGGCTTTTGCAAATCTAGTGACATATTCAAACAGCCTTGGTCATTTGTGGGTGGCGTCTACAAAAGCCGCAGGACTAGAGGGACCACGTCTGGACGGTCCAGGTTTGTCATAGTGACAGCCAGATGTTCATGCTGTGCACTGAACCATACATGAATGGGAAGGGTAAAGCTGGCCGAGGCTTGAGATTCACCATGCGATTCTCGCAGGGGTCCAGCTGCAACTAGAGCCACTAGACTATCTTGGGCAACCTGCGATTCTCGCTTAGATTTGAGGCACTGGCTGCCTTGATTGGCTGGATTTGGACTCCTGGGCAGATTCCCGTCGCTGACAATCTAAAGTAAATTCATGTAAATTCAGTATCGATAATTATGGGAATTAGTGATACAGTAATTAGTGTAGTAGGTATCCAATGCTTCCAACAAAGATCCAGACTTCGATTGTTTCTCTGTCTTAGCGTAAGCAACGAGATGTGAGAGTCACGCCCAAGGCACCAGGCGACTCTGCGCCGGCAGGGAAAAGGGCTCCGCGCCGTCACTGGGGTGAATGGTGAAGAAGGTCGAACCATAGAAAATCAGGAGAAAGATCCCCACCGTTCCTAGATAGCAAAACGAGGATTCGATCGTTGTGGCTCAAGGCGAGACCTGCGGATTTCCCTGTACTCCCACCAGAGCCTGGTGAGGTTTCTCTACAATAGGTGGTCGAAGCACCCCCAAACCAAGTTGATGAGAATCCCCAGGAGTCAGTCTTCTCGCGTGTTTGGGAGATTGATTGGGTCAACACGGTGTTGATCCACAAGCTTTGTGGCCATCAACGGTACCCCAGTATGAACTACAATCTTGGATTTGGCCGATTTACCTTCTTGCCTCACCCTCAGCAAGGGTGCAATGTGAAGCAGAATCGCTTAAATATTCCTATTCACCAGCCTTTGCACGCAATCTGATTGAAGACAACTATCGAATATGGGATAAATTTGGGAGTAGAAGGTTCACTGCAAAGAATTATATAGGTAAGAAACATGTCTTTAAACGAGTGGGACACAAGTTCCAAGATCGCACACATTTTCAAACATAGGGACTGTTAGAGCCAACCATTGGCCATGGGGGATTTGGGTATGTATTGAGGGTAGATTCAACAAAATGCTTGCGGTCTTTGCATACTTGTCATTACTTTTCTCATGTTCCGAGACTTCCGGAGCGCTCCGCTAAAGATAACAAATCAAACTTAAACACTGGAGTTCAGGGAGAAACTGCATTGAAGAATCATGAGAACGAGGTCACCATAACTCTAGGTTGATCCCCAAGCCGATACGAAGGCAAGCATAATAGCAAAATGCCAGGGATCCGGTGATGCCCAATGCCAGAATGTATCCACCATGTCGAAAGAAGTGGTGCTTATCCAGGTTGAACCCAGCTGCGAAGATCACCATTGGTAAGAGGATATAACTAAACATCTCATAACTGAAGGATGCCGCTCCCCCAAAGGCAATTTGCATGATGTATCCTGCTACCAGGCCAACTAGTACCGCTGCTCCTGTTTCATGGAGCACGTGGCATTTTTCGAAGACATAACTCCAGCCCACATAGGCCAGCAGCAGTAGGACGCACATAAAGTCCTCAACACCAAACACTTGATGCACACGTCCCCCACCGGCTTCAGCTGTCTTCACTACAAGGCCACATGAGCCCTGACCAGTGCAGGCAGGAAAAATGCTGAAGGGAAAACTGCTGCTCCAATCGATGCAAAAGACGTCGTAGTATGAACCAGGTTGGATCGTATTGCGGTCCTTGGCTCAGCTGGGCTTCCCCACCCACAACTGAGCCCCAAAACTGCATCAAGGGAACCAGTCTTGGGGATAAAGCGAGCAAATGGTGCTGGCCGCTGGTGACTGCAGCTCAATCAAAGACCTACATACATCATTATAAATTTCACAAAAAGCGAGTGTCTTCCGGCGAAACTATCCTACAGTTGATAGAAACATCTCTGTACCACCTGAAATGCTCTGCAACAGGGTCCTATTTTATTATATAACTACTAGTTCTGGTGAACAAACTCTGAACCGGCTGGAGTTTGATCTTCTTGAAAGAGGCATTCACGTTGCGTTGACCCGGTTGATTCTTACACTCTCAGCAACTCCGAGTTCAATGACAACCAGCCTTTGAAGGAAGTACATCTTTAAAAACATGTTCATGTTGCATGATTCCATGATGTTCCATGTCCTCATGTTCACGATTCAAAGACCTGATAGGGGTTGGTGAAAGCTTTTTGCTTCATGGTGAACTGGATCACCCTGTGTGACTCTGTGAATCTCAGTCATCGCTCAAGCATGAAATCATTGCCCAAGGCGCGCTGTTTTGAATGACAACGCGACACGACTTGGACTTGTCGCAAGTGATCATGGGCATGGCCGTCATCGAGGTGAAGGATGGCGTGGTGGCACGATTCCTGATGGGCTTCTGGGCATCCAAAATAGATAGAAACCTGTAGTGTTTGCACCAAAGCAACGACTAGTGAAACTTTCCTAATACTGTAATTGGATTTCAAGTTCGTAGGACTCGTTTTTTGGGAACCACAGGTTGCTCGTTTGATGTCTGGTGTTGTTGAGCAGGCATCCATGGTCTTCATGATGGACTCGAAAGAACTACAGTATCCAACTGCCAAAAGTGGAATGATCCGTACAGCCAACCTGACATTGGGAGATTCCCCTAAATGTAAAATACCAATGGAAAGTACCACCAACCTAAGAGTAGTTTCTACGAACTATGGAGATTTTTAATGTATATATCTATATAGATTGCTTCAACCAAGACAACCGAAATCGTTGGCAATCCAAGGTTCGCTTTATGTGACTCTGCCCTGCAGGCCACGTTGGCAGTCCCGTTGCTGCCAGTGCTGCCCCCAAAGCGGATGGACACGCAAATGGAGCTCCGCTGCCTGTGGTAGGCTTTTTCATTGCACTCAGAAAAACCAAAGTAGAAACTGGGAGGACACAAGTAGAGGCATTTCGAACGTCAAAGTCAAAGAATACAGACTATTGTCACTACAGTATCTGGCGAAACTATACAGCCTGGAATGAAAGCCCCTTTTATTTTTGACGACTTTCTGGTCAAAAGGTCACTGACTTTACAGCTGATATCCCCGTGTGATCCTGTTCCTGCACATCACAGGTTCTTTCATGAATAGCTGGCTGGAAACGACCACAGCTTCAAACGAGGCAATTGAGAGTAAATGTGGAAAAGGTTCACTGCTATTGGGTGGGGTCTTTGTTTCACTCAGGTGCAAGGTGGTTATCGACCAAAGAACTGCCCTGCTGGACGCCTTTGGATCCCACATAGAGCCTACTACTGGCGTTATACTTCCCAATGTTATTGGGCTTTGATTTGATGGGATTTGCAACGAGTAAAGGAGAGCTCACCGCTCAGCAACAGGTGGATTGATGCGCAGAAATTATAACATTTGAGAATCATGGAGGTGTACCGGGAGGTTTCTATGCAAGAACATTCAACTATCTTGATCTTCTATGCACAACCTGTGTATCACTCCAAGGCCAAGCTGCACGCTTTCATCGCGGCACTCATGAATGGAGTACTGCTCGCAAACAGCAAGGCCAAGAAGGGTACAAAGCCATGACACTCTCATGGCAGGAATACCCATCACTGCAAAGAAGCCACAGGTTCAAAGGGTTGAAATGCAGGAGGACGCATGGTAGCCCCGAGGGAACGAAGGGTGTCTCTTGATGTCCCAAAGAAATGAACGTGCAAACAGTGATTGCTTGGAAATACTCTACCTCATCTCTCAGGGAGTTCTCTTTTGCCTTTGATGTCGGTTGAGTCGATCCTCAAATTGAGCGCAGAGACCAATTAAGCTTGCAAGCGCTCGAGTCAGAGTGTTGTCTTGGAATGTATGTCTAAACCTGGTGAAGAAGAGCAGTATTTCGGAAAGTTCTGCTACTGTCGAGTTGTGAGATACCTTCTCCAATTTTTTCTTACCCCAGTGAAACCTTATCACTTTAAAGGTTGCTTTGGTTCCACAGGTCCTGTTTCTTCAATCATTCTGCATCAAATCCTATTCCGATAATTATAGTTGTTACATGTTGCTACTATCGAATCACAAATTACGATTCCGTTAAAATATAGTTTTCTGTTGTGAATCTCACACCAAAGTCATCATTCTGCATATCCTCAAAGGGGAGCCGATATCAGCTGCAGGTTCAACCCATACCCTTCGTGTACCCCATGGGACCATTGGAATTGGTGTTCTGGATATCCCTTCTGTTCAAGACGCACCCCAAAACAAACCGATGAACCCTGACACGTTATGCCTGTTCTGGAACATGTGACGGAAGATGAACCCCCTTTTTCGAAACAGGCAACTAAATCCACGTCTATCAAGAGGCCAAAAGCAGTTCCCATCTTTTTCTTTTTTGACAAAGATCACTTTCGAGGGTCAACTGCTGAATTAACTATATAACATGATTTAATCAAATCACCAATATTGGCATCTAATGGCCGAGATTTAACAACACTCGTCAAAAAAAACATCTTGTTTTGAAATCGCCACACAGCATCCATACCCAAAACACCCGTGTCTTGGCCCCGTGCCCCAGCCAAAACGGCTGCCGCATACTCGCCCACGCTATGACCCAAGACCTAAGTAGAAAAATAGAACGTGAGGGAGCAGGTCTAACCGAAATAGAAGTTTCTTCGCTTCGTGGACGAAGCAGTTGGCTGGTCAGAATTGCAATCAGCTTATTGATCTTATTGTGTTGTAATTCACATGCCCAACGCTTGCCAAGATCCAATTTCTTTATGAAGCGATATCTTCCTTCCACATCGATGGAGCTGTGCACCAGCATCCAGCACACTCCCTACTGTCCCTCAAGATGGGGTAGGAACACTCCACGCATGTCTTTTTGGAGGCCATGGAGCTCAAGGTTGCGGGACTTCTTCCATCACTGCATATCATATCACCCTTCCCACGCTTCCAAGGGCCCGGCCGCACAAGGCTCAAGGCCTCGAGAACGCCAAAGCTCTGCCAAGGCATATTCGATAGTGAAGATGGCTGGCTGAGAAAACTGAGTCCTCAGGCGACTCCATGGTGAGGAAAGGTGAATGGAGTATGAGAGAGGTGAATGGACTGGGTACATTGAGAGCTTGGGGATTTGTTTTGGCCCGAGCAAAATGTTGGGTTGGCTGGAAACATGTAACATGTCAAAAGCTGGGAAATGACACCAAGATATACCAAGATGCGTGTAAAGACATGGCAAATGCAAAAATGTTGTTTCGATGAGTGTAATTAGACTTAGGCATCCTGACATCAGTCTTCGATGGGTGCTTCAAGTGCTCTCTGGAATCAAGTTGGTCAACCTTCTGCAACACACCTCACCCTGAAACAAATAGCTAGCAACATCTATCCAATCTATCAACTAGCAACCATTAGATAAGAACTCTGGATGTTTCCTGAACATGATTGCAAAATACTAAAAACATGTGACTGAGCTTGAGTGACTCCAATACCAAATGAACCAAGGTCGGCGCTGATTAAGCAAGCCGTCATCCGTCTCCGCATGCATGACCTGAACACATACAGCAGCACTGACATATTCTTTTGTGCAGCCAAAGGAGGATTTGTCCCATCTCAAAACTCCACTTGTATCAGAACTCAGAACTCAACGAACAAACAATGGAAGAAATCAACCAAATATCAACACAGATTCAAAGCTTTGTCAGCACAACTCGCCTTGGAAAAAATGAAACCACCGCAGACTTCTGACCAAAATGGTGCTACCAGTATGTTGCAAACCATGATCCAACCCCACCCGAATCCTAAGGTTCGTCGGCCCAATATCGCTTGTCTTATTCTTCTCGTTTGTCCGCTGTTGCCACGTTCAGTGCAGCACGCCATCGGTGCCTGCAAAAGTGCCTTTGGCAGCTCACTATCCAGCAGCGCGGCACACTTGTCCACAGCCTCGCGGAAGACCGGCTCCGAGCCATAAAGCTCCTGACAAATGAGGAAGGATCGGATGGGGTGCTGTAGCCAAAGCGGGTCCTGAGACTGAGAATGATCATCAATATTATGCGCTATGACCCCACGGCCCCACGCAAAGAGGAGATCAAAAAGCATTGGTCTTTGTGGCTAATCACTTATCAAATGAATGATAAAGCCCTACCAAGTGTTGCCGATCTTTTCTTGGCACCATCGAAGGGGTGAAACCGTGAATGTCTTTGGCGCTCCTGGCCCATCTTCACATACTGCGAGCCCTGGCCTCAGCCACACGGGAGGATGTGGGGTAGAGGGGAGGTTCAGTGGAAGTGTAAAGCTGATTGCATGCAAACAAGCGCATGAAGAACTTCCGCGCCCCGCGCCGTATGTATAGACACTTGGTGTCCCTTCGATTAATACCGCACACCGACAACCGTGCTCGCGGCTGCCAATGAGGCACTGGAAAATGACACAACACGGGCTCACGGTCCATGGCTTGGTAAGGGCACAGCAGCATACAGTAAATGACCAAAACACCAGGTGAAGGTTTAGACAAGCGGCTTTTGCAAGTTTGTGTCAGTTCTTTCTTAGCCCCAAACTTTACGTATGTCCTTTTTATCAGCACCTCGATTCACCGTAAATTAGTTTATGTAAGTCTGCCACTCCTCCAATGTCCATCACTCCTCCTGCGGGCCTGTGAAAAGGAAGGCCACCCGCTTCGGCACGCTGCTCAGTGACTGCGCCTTGCGGCCTGCAGTTAGGCTTTGCACAGTAAAAATGACGCTGGTCCGAAAGTAGATAGAAATGAGTTCCATCACAGTACATCTGTTCTATCTATATATCTATTTGGCAGTCACCATAATCAAACAACATTTATTCTATTGCGGTCTTTGTCTTCCCAAAAAGCTTTAGATCCAGCTGCACCTCCATTCCAAAGCCACTCCCACCCAGTCGCATGCGCGCACCTGTCGACCTCTTCTTCTCTGCTTTCGCCGACGCTGCCAGGACCACGTGGCCGTTGGTGCCGCCAAACCCAAAGGAGGACACAGAGGCAGCAGGGAAGCCACTGGGGCCTCGGGGTCCACTGAGTTGGATATTCTTCACCATGAACTGAGTGACTCACACCACTCTTCAGAGTAGTTTAGAGGGACTTCGTACGTATGACCCTGCTTGCAAGGTCTTCCCCCACCCAGGACTCCTGGCACTACCTTTCCTGCGTGTGATTGTGGCTGGTTATTTTTTTTCCAATCGCCTTTGAGATTTGTGCCACATGTCCTCAGGTTCTGGGACTGATTTTGCAAAGCTGTCTCGGTGCTCATTCACTTTCATCTCCCCAGCAAGTTCACCTATATATATACAAGCAACCTCTGCTTGAAAACTCTTCAATGTCCTCCTCAAGGATGGGGGTCACTGGTGTTTCTTTTCGGCTAAGAAACTACCCAAAACAAAACGTCCAGAGCTCTGTACGAGGCAGGCCGGAGTGTTTATTTGCCGATCTTGGTTGGTTGATTGATTGGTCGGGAGGGGCTGGAAACATCAACCCATGCAGCTTCCTTAACTTCCGCCCAGCAAATCATGGACCAAGCAGCATGCTTCAGATTGGAACTGCACTGGGAAGTCTTCGATGTCTTCGAAAATGTGGGAGTTGAGATCATGCAAATGCCTCAGACATTAAGTTGATGATCAGGGATTCAAAACACATAATTGAGATTCTGAGATTCCCTATCTTCGGGAGCAAAAGCCATTACCATCACGAGTCAGGGCGGGCTTGGTCCTCAATCAAAGCAGCACCAACAACCTTGACACGTGAATCATGTTTGATGCTTTGGGTACTGGCAACCAGAAGACCTTGACAGCCTCAATAGGCCATGCAACAACTCCGACTCAATTGCTGTTCTAAGTTATAAGGCGCAAAGATGCAAGTTTGCTGGCAAGCAGTTGCGCGACAACAAGGATGCCAACTTCAGCAGGCCAACCATGCCTGCGCTGTTTGACGGCCAACGTTTGAGATATCCATATTGTCCCCAAAACCGCGTTCTCTTTGCGGCGGGGAAGACAAGTGCCAAGTGGACTCTAGGCTAACTTCGTCTTTGGAACCATCGGTCCCTCATGAATGTTTGTTGGATTCCTCCATGCAAAAGAAATCGGATTCACACCAGAAAGGTGACAAAGCCGATGATACGTTGCAGTACATATCTTGATCGCTGGTCTTTACTCTACACCCAACCAATCCCAACTATATCCTTGGAAGATAGTTGGACCCTCCCAAGCCTACCCAAGTATCTTCTCAGGGTATAGCTTGAGTCCTGGAGATTGAGAATTCCCAAGGTGGAAACTTGAGTTTCTCCGCTCTGGCCAAATGGCCAGGGAAAACGCATGCAGGTTGGAGCGTCAAGCTCTTGGCCAGATTGCAACCGATCTTGCCCCATTACAGTACATCCTGAACCGTCCTGAATGAGTTCCACCTGTATACATGATTCTGCAACCTAACAAGGCCATCGATCCGCGATCAACAAAGACCATTCAACAAACAACTTCTTCGTAACCATGGGTCAGTAAATGATGCTACAACATGCAGCTTTGCCCAAGATCCGTATTTGGAACTTTCGAACCCTTTCCAACCTCCTTGAACCCGCCCTCTCTCTGGTCCATCGCTCCCGCCCTGACGTACCTGCGCCGCCCTCGAGGTGACCCACGTTGGTCTTGGCCGCACCCAGCTGGAGTGGCGCGCTACCCGAACGGCCGTTGGCCAATGCAGTCTGCAGTGCACCGACTTCCATGGGATCTCCCAGCGCGGTACCGGTGCCTCACGTCTGATGGGGTGGAACCGGGTGGGATAAGGATACAACTGGTGGGGCCAGCTGATAAATGTGGTTAATTAGATGATTATGATAAATTGTTGAAGATAGTTGACTTAAAGACCTGGAACTCGGCAAGACCTGAACGAATTTGGTGGGAATGCTTGTTGAACAGTCCAACTGCTCAGAGAACATGAGGACGTCTACGGGGGGGTGCCGTTGGGAACTATCTGCTGTGTCAAGCAACAAGATAGGCTACACCAGGTAACTTGGTGAGACCAGCAATTTTTCTAACCCAAAAACACCCAAAAACACATATGCTACTTTTAAGTGACGCACCTTTACAATTGTGTTTGTTTGTTCAAGAACAACTCATCTTTTGAAACTTTTTGAACCCTAGACTCCTAGACTTCCTCTCGGATGTAACTCATGGAGCCAGTCCTGGAGTAGTCAGGAAACCATCCCGTGCCAACTTGAAATGCGCGAATGCAAGCAGGTGCCAGTGTCAAGGAGCTGGCAAACTCCAGGCATTGGTCTACAGATTATCACTCATTCCACCAATATGGGCAAATGCAATATGCTCTCTTTGATTCTTCACCAGCTTCAAACAACAATTGCACACCAACAAACCTCTACATGACATGGGAGTGCTTCTGCTTGGACCCGCATCATACGCAACGGATGCGCTCTTGCACAAGAACCTACCGTTTCAATCCTTTCTTGCGCCTGAAAAAATGAACCGTACGAACCACATTCCCAGAACCAGTTCCCCTAGAGCAGTGACATCCACAGAGAAGGACTGCATATGGAATCCCTCTGCCTGCTCTTCTATTTCTCTGGAGAATACATCTTGTGGCTGTGGCACAAAACATGAGGGTACCACTGAAGCCGGCTGGTTGAATGGACACATAAAAAAACTCTCCAGGTGCCCAAGGTCTGTATCTTTGACCCAACTCCATTGACCTCAAAGTATTTGACCGGTGGCTTTCAGTGGCTTGCTGCGATTTCTTGTTTCGTTGCCACCCACATCACGGTCTCCCACTACAGCAACCCATCTCGAGAATCTAGCCGAGCTTCCATGGGTCTCAACACATGCATGGCTCGCAGGATTCAGTTGAGCTTCGGCCAAAGCGGACAGCACCACAGCTTGCCTGAGCGGGACAGGGTCCCTGGATTGATTGAGCATCTGTTGAGCCCAAGCTGTCAGGGTGTTCATGTCTGGAACAAACCCACCCAGTCACTACAACGGATGATCTAGCCAGAAAGGAGCCACCCCAACACCCAACAGCCCCTTGGAATCAATGAAACTGGGTGACCAACAAGCGGAATGGGCAACAAGCGGACGAAGACCAAGAACACCTTGCAGCTTGCAGGGTCTCTCCTCGTTGGGCTCCACAGGTATATAATAGCTACCGGTCCACCAAGAGCTGACAACCGGAGCTAAACACTCCGAGCTCGTCCACAAGCAAGACTGGAGTCAGACCGGCCAAATGTCTATGAAACATACCAGCACCTGACTCAAATCAGGTCTCCTCTCCATGGCTTTTGACATCAAAGTTGCATGGCCCGGACCTTGTTTGGGGCATCAATTCTGTGTCACATCATACGTCATCATAGATGTTGTGAGAGGCTGAAAATCAGAAGTACACCACGGCAAAAAAGTCACCCTTTGGACCGGCATCAGAGTAGGATCACCGAATGCACCCAAGATTGACTGCGTGACCCCCCTTTCTGAGGTGTCCTCTGTTTAAAACCACCAAAAGGATGATATCAGATGACACTATGAACAATCAATCCTGCAGCCACCCCTTATGATGCTGGCGGGCGCGAGCTCTCTCTCTCTCTCTCTCGCTCTCTTTCTTTCTCTTTCTTTTCTCGAGAGCAGCACATGTTGTTTTGCATGAAACATTCACATGGATCCTGAATTTGCTTCATAGGAATCGTGACGGGACTGTGGAAGAAATCATCTAAGAATCCAAGACATTCTATAAGACACAACATTGAAATTTGCCTTGGCAGGAGCTGACCATGCCATCATGGCCCTTGGAAAGAACTTGCCTCCCAAAGCCACCACACCCTCCAAGCGGCTGGGACGGTCCGTTGGGCGAGGTCAAATTGGAGCTCCTTCCGTCCTCAGCAGGGTGAGGTTGACATAGTTGACATGGTTTCCACTCCTCCCAGCTTCACGTGTTCCACCGGGCCACCATCTTGGACACGGCGATGGCTCAAAGAATAAGGCCTCACACCCTGAAGATTTCATCTACCAGCACTTTGCTTTGGACAGTGTGTTTTTTTGGTATGTTGTGTTTGCCATTCCCACAACCACTCCATAACACTCAACACGTAATTGCGCGAAGCACCGCCAAGTGCCACCAGGCGTCTTGGTTTAGCGCCGAGCCCCTCAGCTCCGCGATCGCGGTGCGGCTGGAGCTGCCCAAACGTTCTAAGGCGTGGGATCCGACTCCCTCGCCTGCGTGCAGAAGCCGAAACGGGTTGGTGGAAGTGGTGCGAACAATCAGAATGGATGTTGATGTTGGTGAATATCAGGAGTTCCAAGTTGGGGTGGTTTGCCAGAGAGTTCCTGGAATCCATCCCGGAGCCAATCCTTTTGTTGATTAATTGCCACTTGGCAGGGCCCTTTGTTTATATAAGTTTGCTTGACTTGAGGATCCAAGAATCGGCGGGACTTAAAGTGGCGACACCCTATGTAGTGAGTGGAAGGCACCCTAGTTATTGCAAGGATATTATATCCGAACAGTTATATATGAACCATTTTGCATTAGGGTCTTGCTGGCTTCTATTGGTTCAGCCGCCAGCAAAACTATCCTATTCTGTTCATCTTCTTAAGTATAGCGCAGTGACAGCTCCGGGCTCCGGAGTCCCAATGTTGGTTCGGGCAAACCACTTGGGGAGACTTAGCCAAAAGGTTTTGATGATAGCCGCAGGTTGCATCGCATGGATCTGCGCCTCGTGCATATCCACTGGCACTATCATCAAAGGTCTTACAGCGGCCGCCCTTCGAGAGCATCTGCGCTTGGCAGCACGCGACAAAGGTCTGCGGCAGAAGAAGCCTTGTCTGAGTGAGTTTGGTGAGTTTGATATGGCTCCAAACAGCACAAAAAAGACTGTCCAGTTTGGATCAACTCAGTTTCGATCAACTGGCGTGTCCCTCACCGCAAATGCAAGTGCACAAATATATATATAAGGACCCGAGTGGGCCGACCCAAAGGAGTTCTTATTGATGTTTATTGGAACACCTCAAGTGATCCTACTGCACCACATGTGCCGGATCTTTCCACTACCTTCATCTCATTTCTTCGGGGGTGAACTGCAATCAATTCTACTTGTTGGGTTCTTTGGGCCACCACACGGAAAGTGGCAAAAACACGCCCGCTTAATTTTAATAGATAAGCTTGTGTGAGCCCAGTCTTCACTACCAAACGACCAAAGAGGCATGACCACATGGCTCTGTGATGCTTCCAGGATGCATGTTCACACCACAAACCACCGCCAAATCACATCGCCGTCTTCGAAGAGTCACCTCAGAGGTGAGCGAGTTGGTGCCCAGCCAGGCGCATCCATCCAGTGGACATTCCAAAGAGGATCTCAGTCTCAGTCTCAGTGTCCTTTTTTCCAAATCGGCTCATTTCGCATCTAGTCCATAGACATGTGTGATTGCCGTTAAATACACCCACACATCGCAACGGAAGAGCCGTCATAGGTATGCAATGCCAGCTTTGGAACAATGCACGAACAAACCAGGTGGTCTCTCTTGGGACGTTGCTGTTGATGGCCACGCACACAGTCACTTTGCATGGCTGTATCAGAATAGAAGAGTTCACACCTAAAAAAAGAACTTGATGATTCTGTCAGTTAAGTTAACTAGGTCTAGGTGAGATTCTTGTACTCTCCGAAAAGAATTGATCCTGAAAATGGCCCAGCTTGGAAGATTGCTTTCCTCTACAAAGCACTGTAATTTGGCCCCGGTCTTGATCCTGCTTTGAAAAAGGCTGGCAACACCACAGCACTCACAGTCTCAATCTAAGACTCACTTGGTCCTTGTGCCATATGGTCCCCTGCTGCCCAAGGCACAGCTGCGGTATCTGCAGCCACCAGGGAGGAGGAACAGGCTGTGTCCATGGTTGCAGAGGGGCCCTTGAGTCCCAAGGAGTAGCCTGAACGCCGATTCCGTGCTCAGATGGATCGGTTTGTGATGAACTTCTTTGGATCACCATCAATCCATCATCATCTGATACTAAGACTTAACCATCCCCCTCCACTTGTTATTCTTCGATTACCTATGGGGCGAATCGCCTGCCTAAGCCCACACGATATCAAATAGCATCCCCCAAACTCGACATGTCGCACCCACGGAGCAGAGTACAGTATATAGTATATAGTATATAGATCCTTCTGTGTTGTGTAAGTTTGAGGGAGTGTTGCCGTCCTTCAGTGGGATGAGTGGGATGTTGATGTTCTGGTGGTTCTGATTCCATCGACCCAGTCGCTGATTCGATTGGCGCTGATGGAGGAGGAGCCGCCGGTAGCCGCATAGGGACCACCTGAGTCAGTCGTGCCAAACATCTGGCGAAACTGATTGATAAAATCTAATTTTAGGTAGATTAAGCAGTTGGGGGTGCGGTGGAGAGTTTTTTTTTTTTTTTTTCCGGCCGAACATTCAACGCGCTTTGTTAGTTGGTTGATGTGAACATGTGTAGGGGACAGTCACACTCCGTATTAAACCGGGATGTTGAGTTGGTCCAACTGCATGGTTCACCGGCGGGAGTGGCATGAACATGCATAGGCCCGCAGACCTCTGGACATGCTCATGATCGCATTCTCCGACTCAGCAACTCCACTAGGAGCCAAAAGGTCCTAAGTGGTTCTATGATGACCAAAACATGTCTACGTTCTCAGACTTTGTTGCTGTCTTCTAGGCCCTTATGAGTCCAGCGCTCGACTACTCTGCCCAAGACACTTTGGGCTCCCGTGATCATGCGGTTCCAATCACATTTGTCCTGGACACATCGATGCACACGAAGGGTTGGTTGGAGGGCTTCTCACATGTGGCCTTTGCAATGTAATGGACCGGGAAGAAGCGAAAAGCCCGGGTGTTGGTCAAACCAACTGGATATTTTCCTCAACAAATGGCCTCACAGCCCACAGCTGCTTTAGGGCGAACTGCTTGATTCGAGGAGCGCTCAAGAAGAAAGTTTGAAAGGACTCAACAACTCAACAAATCATCATTTGCGAGATACCCTCATATGTCACTGGGACCCAGTCCCGCCCCGTCACTTGGGGAGCTCGTTGGAGCTTCCAGTGGATGCGGGGTATCAAATCAGTGCAGGAAGTCTGAATTCCGTTCAGAGTAACTGCATACATTGCTAGACGTAGCTACCATTGTTGCCAAAATGAGTAGCAGTCTTTACGTCACTACAGGCCCTCGTAACTCACCTGCCTGGCCCCAAGGCTGAGCCTCACTTACGCTAAAGCCACTTGAGCGCACAATCAATGCCTTGGGATGGAACACCTAAAGCAAATGTCATCTGAGCAATTCCGCCTGGCCCACGAACACGCCCCCGAAGCTTCCCATCAGGCTGCCCTTGTTGAACCCGCCAGCCTGCGACAAGCGATCAGATTCGTAGCTGCTCAGGAGAGACGTTCTTGTTTTCCAACAAAAAAGGTCCAAGGTTGTTATCCTTATTCTAAAAAACATTAAAACACAATATATATGTATATATATGTATATGTATGTATATATATATATATTATATGTCCGTTTTTGGTTTCCTGAATACTTGTCACCCTTGATGATGTCTGCCAATCTGATCAAAACTGGAGCGATGACCCCATCAAGGTTTCCGCATCCGGGGATTCCGCTGGGATTGACGGATCACAAATGGACTGACAACAAACATCAGGGCTTGGCGTCGGAAAGTCAACATTGGACAGCCGGGCAGCTCGACCAATCAGTTCTCCCAGTGATTCAGATTGACAATGGTTGGACAACTTGAGCCGGTCAAATCTAGCCTCAGGGCTAAGTCCAGCTCATGTTCATTTGGACAACAATCTTTGCATTGGAACTCGGCAAATTCAATCCCAGCCGCTGAAAGGGCTTCGAATGCAGCTTCCAACCTCACAGAGCCAGCAAGTTAATGTGGACGTTTCTTTGCTTAGGCATTTCAATTAGAAGAGTAACTTTGCGAGAGACTGTGTGGCGTCTTTTTACAGCCACACGTGCTACCCTACGATCTTGGATCGGGGTGAACATATTGAGGTGGCCTAGAATGCGGTACCCAACCTCTGTGCATTGACTCTGCTTTTTGTTAAATCTCAGCTGGAGTACTGTATATGTGAAGGCAATCATTGGGTTGTTTGTCCAACTTCACAAACAACTCAAGATCCCCTATGAGGAAAACGTGTTGAACTCATTGCATAATGCTTCAATGATTGTTCAACAAAATAATTGCAAGACTCGACTCTTGAGCGACACTGAATTTGTTGTTGATCAACCAAAGCCTGACAAAGAATCCAATGCCAAGGTGCAAATGTCTCTGCTGTGGGTCCATGGTTTCCGCTTCAGCCTGGCAGGATGTGGCTTGATCGAATGCATTTCGGAAAGGTGTAGCTTCCGAAATAACCCACCACCGGTATCTCAAACAGGCAAACGCAGGACCGACAGGGAGACTCCCAGCCTCCCTGAAACCAACCTCTACTTGTATAAAAAGTGCCTGGGTCGTCTCATTTCCATATAAACCAACCTCACATCGCTTCAGCTTGGTGCTCAAGAGGCTGTGCAACAGTCATGTTTTATGTATGGCTTTCACTAGGTTGTGCACTCTTCCATAATATACCAGGAAAAAAACAAGCTCCACAACCATGGTCAATGTCAAAACCAAATAAAAGCAGTCTTCGCCTGAACATATTCTGGAAAGGTCCAAACACTGCAACAAATAAGGCCAGGGCCATGGCCAAATTCCTGTGGGGGGACATGAGGAGTACATAGAAATCGAATTGACCTCAGTGGATACCCACAAACGTGGATGTTATATGTAGTAGGTCGACCCCCCAAATCTATCCCAAAAGCCCACGGATGAGCCCCAATCGGACCGGCCCGACCATGTAAGAAGGTTCTAAAAGATGCAGAACAACCCCCAAACAAGTACCAGCACTTCTCATCTCGTCGCTACTAGCTCTACCCAGCCTCCATCTTAGTCTCATTGGCACTCCAACTGAGAGCAGACTCCAGATCTAATCTTTGGGTATGCCCCTTGTCTGAGCCGCTGCTCTGAAAAAATAGCCGCCATAAACCACCGCCATCTTGGTCTTTTCGTTTCCGTCCTTGTTGATTCCAAAGGTGGTCGCAGCAAAGAGTTCGACGCCCTCGATGAAGGCGGCATGTCGCACGTACATCTTGAGACCTTCTTCGCGTCGTGCCGTGATGGGGCTGACATCTAACAGTGGATTCCTGACATTCGATATTAATATGGATCCAAAATAACTCTGACCGAAAGTTCAGGGGTTGCATGGATATCCGCAGGTTCTTTCAAGTCCATTGGGTTTGTCCTAATTGTCTTATAGGAACATTGGTTCTTGGTTCTGAGCTTAAATCGCCACTTGCCTCTGAGTGGCCAGTAGGTGTGTGATATTTGGGAGAGGGGCAACCCTGGCATTGCCATGGCGAACGAACCAACATCTTGTTTGCTACCTCTTGTCAAATGCTATCGTAATGCTTAGCTGCTTGGGTTATGCCCTTCCACAAGTGATCTCTGATTGTTGCGCTTCACAGTCTGGCGTTCCCTTCTCGTCTCCTGCAGTGAAACCATTGTCTGGGTTGTACCCATTTTAACATCCAATCCTGGGAACAACCTCGTCTATCTCATTTTTGTGAAGCATTCCCAACTAACCCGGATCCTCGGTCAAGGGAGTTCAAGAACCGAATTAATTCCGCCATCGGCTCCATTCAACTCCGACACAAAGTAAAGGGAGACCCCTCGATCTGCCCCACGGGTTCGGTTTGGGAGTCTTTGTATTTCTTGTGAGGGGATCTGATTGGAGGTCTTCCTAATCGAATCCAAAACATTCCGATGTGCCGTTGATCCCCTGCCTGTAGTTGCATCTGGATCATAGTACTCATCCACATCCCACCTGAGAGAAGCACGACGCGACTCTGGGATCCTTTTGGGTCCTCAACCTCATCCTGAGAAGGTTCTTGGGTGTCTAGCACCTTCTGCTGGATGTGGAATGACAGGTGAGTCAATCACCCAAAGGTTCTGATTCGGTTCCTGAACCTTGCAAACGAAGGCTTTGTGGTCTTGAACGTGGCTCTCACCAATGAATTACCGTGGTTCTTTGGACATACTACTGAAATTATCATAATTTCTGATTCCTGGCCACACTTTTAACCAGCTTGATTTTAAAGTTTTGGATGTTACCCCCGTGTTTCAGAAAGCTCCTGACAGAACCACCAGCTAGTACGGCTTACTACACCTCACGTTGAGGCAAGCATGAACGGCGAAACCCTGACCCCTCGCCTGCTGTGTGGCATCTCCACGCTACAATCAACGCCCATGGAGAGCATGAAATCAAACTTCTCCAAGGACCAGCTGTCTCCTGGAGTTGAACCAAGGTAATTGACCCCTTGAGAAATACAACAATAGGGCCTTCATAACAAGTCAGCAGTAGTATAACTGACTACGTTCAGAGGCTGAAATGACTTGTTTGCTTCTTGCGAAACCCTGGTTCTAAGTACCGTGTGTGAATTCTTCAACAAGGCCACTGGTCCATCAAGCACGAGATTTGTCTTGAGCCACAGGCCGATGGGTCCAAACTAATTACTTGAGCACTGATCGTACTGTTTGAGTCTATGGACCCAGTAGGCCCATCAACGAAGCAATAAAATGCCTGAAATGGGATGTTCTTGGGACTTGAAAACCAGATCTAGATTGTTTGATACCGGGGATGTTTCACAAGGGGGCTCAAAAGGTGGCATTCCAGTCTGGGATTGATATTACTGCAAAAGAAACACATTCTAAATTCAATATCAGATTCAACATGCCTTGATCTGTTCTCAACAAAGGCAAAACTTGAATGGGATAATAGGTTGCTTCCTAGGTTGCTCACAGCTCGACATGCCAAACCATGGGATCTCCTGGCAAATGGCAAGCGCCGCCTAAGACAGCCACGTGCTCGCTGACGCCGGCGCCACGTGCTGGCGCCAGGGCACGCGTGGTCGGGGCGACTGTTGCAGCTGCTGGCACCGTGTCGGGGAGCAACTGCTGTGAGACATAGTCCGCGAGGGCTGTGAGGGTGGGGTAGTCGAACCTGAAACAAGGAACTTTCAAGGAACCCGAGAACCAACATTTTTGCGAAACAAAATCATACGCGTTAACACCAAGATACACCGAGAGCCAAAGGAGATTGGTGAGTGTTCCTTCTTCAATTGAAATAGGACACGCTGGGGAAGGTAGACTGGGTCACTGGACGTCCACCTCAAGTGAGAGAAGATCTTTCAGTAACTCTAGTGCAGTCTGAATGTGGGAGGTCCCAAAGGAGACAACTTCATTCAAAACGTAGACAACTGCTGAAGGACAAGCCGAAGGTCAGGCAACAGTTTCAAAACTGGAGTTGTTTTTCTCTTACAAGATCTTACATGTGCTGGTTGGTTGGTTGGTGGGTTGGTGTGTAAGCAAAGATTTGCCCCTGGGAGGTGCTTGTCTTCTGCTAAATCTCTAAGTAGCCAAAAGGTGGGTTGATGTGTACTCAAACTCATCTGTCAGTCACATAACTTGCTAGTCACCCGAATACCCAACAAAGAAGCTACACCGAAATCTTTGCATTGGTGCTGAATCCCACATGTTCCCACACCCCGGCGCACGAAACCAAAGAGCTGAGCCATTGAAAGGTGAATGAAAAAGTGGGAGAGACCAGGGATAGTTTTGGATCTTCCCTCGGAGCACTTTGTCAAAGCAAAAGGAGCGGAGAAGTTTCTTGAGACACTTCGATCAGTGGCCCATCGAGGCTAGAGAAACTGCTGTGTTCGGCCTGGTCCAAATAACTATCTTAATTAGATCAACATGCCAAGCCCCCATGGGGTCAAGACCATAAAACACATTCATCCAAGAAACATCAGTGTGCTCGGCAAGCGCACGGAGCGGAACTCGCTTGACACCTCGATGCAAACTGGCTCACACATCATAACAAACACTTGTCATGTTTCATGTTCAATAGATCTTGAGCGACCTAACACAAAATAGGAAAATATGTTATACGCAAATGAATAATAAATATATACATACACATATATAAATATACACAGTAATTAAATGACTTTAGAAGGGACATGCAAGATCTTCGAGGAAACGAGCAGAGCATTGCTTAGCAAAAGTGTGTCGTCTTCAGGATCCATGTGCCATGGGTGAGATCCTCGTGCAAACTTCTAGAAAACAACTCCGGCACTCCGCATCTGAATCAACATGGCTTGGTTGTGGTTGGCTCATGAACCTATCTCAGCCAGTTGAAGAAATGCATTCCAGAACACCACATACAACAAGTATGCCTCTCACAAATCGATTGACTGACTGTGTGAAATCCGGAGGCAAAAAGGATTCCCATCTTCCTAAGCAAATCTGCTCCACAATGCGTTCATCATTGGGCGAAAAAACACAACACAACAATACAGCACAACATACATATGTGCAAACACGCGGCGAAACAAGCGGGGTGTTTTAAACATCAGGCCTTGTTGCGGAACTCCACCGCTGAGAGGGAGTCGATACCTGCCTCCATCAAAGGTGTGTGATCATCCATCTCCAGACCTCAGGCTGCGCCACCACACTGGGCAGTGAAGTGATCTTCTTACCCAAAATGGACTCCAGTGACTGACGTCATTTCTGAGGAGAAACGGAATCATCGTTGGTCATTGACCACTTGAGCAAAGAAAAACACCAGTCTGGCCACTTGATTAAGGGGAATTTGGGCAAGCGAACCTATCACTTTTCAGCCACTGGTGTCTCAGCAGAAGGAACCTCTACCCTACAAGGTTGTTGAGAACTTTGAACCCACCACTAGTTGGGCTTCACCTCCCAACAATCAAGGTCTTTGAGGACCTCTGATTCTATCCAGGCGGCCCATGCCAGAGGCCGCTGCACGGATGGAGTCCAAGACCTTCTTTTGTCGCTCCTCCACATTTCGGTGGTGCGGTGAAAACTGAGGACGTCAATCATTTCCAGACCCCGGATGAGAAAAGGCGAGGTAGTCTATGAGTTAGAGGCTCTGCCTGGGTGAAGGTAGACTACATCCAAGGGTCAAACTTGCAATCTTCAGCGGAAACTGGTGGACCAGGGCATCAGGAAATCTGCAAAACGACAGTAAATTCTGCTATCTAATTCCTTGGATAATGGAAACATGGAATGTCTTCTGAAACATCACCAAAGCCCAGGTAGTGGGAGTGAAAGGGATCCTTCAAAGAACTATTTCTCAGCTCTTGGCACACGTTTTTGAACCAAACAGACTTACAGGGCCTACAGGATTCGTTGTAAGTAAGATTTGGTTGAAATTTAGTGTGCAAGGACACATATGAACACCATACTATAACTTAAACTCATATGACTCATATTGGACAAAGATCAAACAAATCTGGTTGGTGATTCAAACAATCCTGCAACAAATCAGTAAATTCGGATAGCCCTTCCCAATCAGGGATGGGAACGTAGAGCAATCCCAAGCCGCCAAGCAAACATGTTTGTTCTGTTCCTCGCAGCCTGCCCCCGGGTATTACAATACCTTGCCATGGGGGATTTCCGCGCTCCTCGAGGGGCAGCAGCGCAAGTGCAGAAGATGCGCCACCACCTACTTCAATTTGGATCAACGTGAAGGTCATTCAAACTTTGCAGTTGCATGCGCAGGGAAGAATCCCTTTCAACACTCTCCATTTAAGGTGATCAATTTCTTTGTTGGTTCTCTTCTACATGAATACCTACAGGAACACCCTTTTCTGGGTACGGAAAATATATTAGCATTTTTCCTAAAAATCTTGTCATTTCCTGAAAGTCCTCCAGGTCGCATCGTGTTGTGGAAATGTTTGTACGCGGCCAAACCAATCTATTGTGGCAACAGGCCATCTCTTTGTTTACATGTTGTTTTGGTTGCAGGTGCCCAAGTGATGGGCATGATGGGCAAGATTGATCGAGCCGGTGCTAGATTCAACGCTAGTGCCTTTGGCACCCTGTTTTACTGGGAGAATCCCCAAGTCCTCATGGCGGGTCCATTGGGGAGTCCGGCGAAGCCGGAGAATGTGATCTTTTGTGTCTTCGGAATCCAAACAAATTGTCACTACTGTCACGAAGCATTAATGCCACCGCCCCCCAAATCACAGCTTCAATGCCTCTCTTGTAAGCCCTTTTGCAGCTTCCATACTCTTCCATCAGTAGCCATGTCGGGGTGCCCATTATTCACTCAGGTGGGGGGTGGAACTCGTCGTGTTTTCCTTTTCATCTTTGTCGCATTTTCTAGCTATAGAAGTGTTGGGTCCAGAACTTGCATTCGCTGCCTGAGCTGGCCGCTGCAGTGCTTTTTGACTCCAAGTCCATGAACTGAGGAATCTCCATTCCGACCTCAGCCACTCAATCCAAGAACTTGCGAAAGAGACCAATGAACACATATCAAAAGCAAGGGTGCTCACTCTGGAGTTCGCAAAGCACCTAAAACCATGGGCCACAGAGGCATCTTTCCATTGAAAAGGAACAGTTTTTGGTGGTCTTTATATGTTGATTGATGGGTGGTAGCCTGACTGACAACTTGTTTCAAAGTTGGTTCATCTTGGATTGTCTTGGCCAATTGTCAGATGGCATCACGGAATCGTCTTCGACCCAACATCTTCTTGCCCTTACAGTAGGCATCACAGGTTTCGCCCCACTTGAACAGGATCCCCTTCCGCCGCCAACGTAACAAAGAGCAAACAGGTTGGTGCGTGCCTCGCGCATGAAGGCCGGCCAGTCTGCGCGCGCGAGCAGCAGTTCGGAGCGGGGTGAAGGCCCTGCCAAGGTGAGGCGCAAGGCGCTACCCACCTGGCGAAACGGACCATCAACAAGTTTCCAGGAAGTAAATAGTATATTGTTGGAACTTCTGCACACGAACCATCCCTCTGTGACCCCACTGAAGTTTGCGCACGTCAGCTGAGGCCTTTTTTGCTGGCAAACCACGTGCGGCCTTTCACTTGCGGCTCATGTCAATATGTAGAGACAGCCTCTCCGTCCTCGGGAACTTTGCTCCCCAACCCAAAGTGGATAGGCTCTCAGGCAAATCGACATTCTTCAAGGACTGGTTAAAGCCCTCACCCAAGGTGAAACACTCCAGACTCTCAGGAAAGACCACCTCGAAGCAGGGAATGCTCGACCATCCTGGAGTGCTTCACAATACATTGGATAGTGGTCCTTTCACCACAAGCTAGTTGATAACAGCTGGGTTACCAAAAAGTATGCTAAAACTTTCCTGTAAGAGTAGGAATGGACAGACTGGCACAGTCTCACACACCAGTACCCATCAATGTTGTGCCAAGAAATCATCCAAACTTGTCCCAACTCTCGTTCTTGAGACCCTGAAAGTAAGTAGACCCGCGCAAAACAATTTGTGACTGCACACTGGTGACTTGTCTACCTTCCCACCTGGTCTAAGCCTAAGCATTGGTTGGACTTGTCGCCCAAGCTCAAATGCTTCAAACTCGCTGGGACATGCGCAATCTCGAAACTCTGATTAAAGAAAAAACAAAGGTCAAAAGCTGCTTTAAACTTTGGTTTAACCTCAGAATCTGCAACTAGTCTGCAAATGAGCTAATGAAGGTTGATGAAGGGCTATTAGTAAAAACAGTGACGGCTATTGGAGGGATAAAATATCTGTGATTCTGACTGCTTGAAGTCTAGAAACCGATCACCAAAACTCAAGCTCTTGAGACACTGTGGCCAAGCAAACCCCTGCAAGGGCCGGTTGAACTCATGGCCCAGAGTGAAGCTTTGAAGGCTGGCGAAAAGCTGCAGCTCCTGGAGGAAACTGGTAGATAAACAAAGGAAACTGATGAACAGGAGATGCTGCTATGATCGGCTGTGCGTATAAACACACATGTATATGTATAGGTATATGTTACACACTCACTTGGGACGGCGCGCGCCCACAGCCAGCAAGCCAGCGGAAGGCAGTCCGAACCAGGTTCGATCCCACTGTGGGGCAGCTCTCGATCATCCCATGTTAGGACGACGCAGCTGTAAATGGCCGAACCAAATCATTGCAAGTCCTGTTCGCCTCCCAATGCAAAACGTACGAATGTCCTCCAAACCACGATCACGCACTTGGTTCGAACAATTTAAAGCAAGGCCACCTTGTCGGGGCCCCGCACCGATTGCACTCAAATCTACACTGCGGATGTCCAGCGCATCAAACCCAAAATGAACCGCGTACGATCGAACGTCTGAGAAGCTCCAAAACAGACACTTCTGGCACTCGCCTGGCCTTTCTTCAAACTAGGTAACAGAAGCGAACCGGCAAACCATCTGTAGCACCAAACAGCAAGCTCCTGCCACTGCCACGTAGCTGCGCACGGCGGCTGTTCATCAGCAGCCTCATCAAACAGCCGCTGAACAAGCTGCACTCCGAAGAGCCCAAAAGCTCCGAGCTCTGTGCACTCACGAGCCAATTCGATGGAAGCGCTTCCAAAACGACTTCTATTTTGAGGGTCTGGCGCGCCGGAGTCAGTCAGGCGCCGCCTCCTCGTGAGCTTGAGTCTCTCGCGCTGCAGGCAAGTGCAACTGTTTCAAGCGTTGCCATTCAGCGTCAACCTCACAGTGAAGCGCCTGCAGATCACAAAGAGTCCTCAGTTCATCACGCTGGTGGCAAACAAGATGAAACCACAAGGAACGAACCGTCTCGCTGTGCATGGAGTGCGCTGCAGCTGCTGCACGATCAGCCAACTCGTTCCAGTGTGCGATCCATGCTGTCACCAGGCCCTCACACTCAACCTCCTTCAAGTGGCCAGGGATGTGGCGACAGCGAAATGCACATGGCAGGCGTTGAATCAGCTCGGCGCAACGTTCCCGCAGTCTTCATTCTGCAGCCTCCAAATGCCTGTGGCTGTGTATGCACTGTCTGTCCAGCAAACAACGGGGCACCTATGCTCCACTAGGGACCACCCCAGAGGACAAGGTCGTCGTGGCATGCGTGGCACTAACCAGCACCCAAAATGACAGAGCACACTCAGGCATGTCAGGACACAGACAAGACCCATCTGTGAACAAGTCTATCCAACCTTGCGCCACTGGCATTGCTGGTACTTGTCCCCTTAGCTTGGCCACTTCAAACTCCCCCCGCCTGGACCTAACGCCGGCGTGCCGCTGGTGAATACCTGTCAACTGATTGCAGGACACGCGTCTATGGTCAAGGTCATCAGGTGTGAAGCAGAACGGATGGTTGTGAAACTACCTGCGCCTGTTTGGGCCATTCAAATGCTTCTTTGCTCGTCGAGCCACCGCCCAATTGATCAAAGACAAGTCCTCAAAGTCTGAGCGATGTCGAACCTCTCCTGACACCCAGTCCATCCATGCATCCTCCACAAATTGAGAAGCAAAGGCTCAGGAATCATCAAAAGATCAACGTCTACACCATGGTGCGTGCAGAGGAGGACCTTCGATTCTCCAGCCCAAGGGCAAGCACGAAAAGGGTCCAGCTCGCAGATTCCCATCATATCCCGCAAAGTGCTGCTGCTACAGGTCGACCATGCAAAGCTTGCAGCCAAAAGGCCTGTTGCAGGACCATGTGCTTCAGATGCTCATCGGCCCCCAGGTTCCTGAGCCTCGCCCACAATGGATCCAAAGAAGCAATGTCAATTCGCCTGAATAACTCCGCTGCGGAGCCCCAACTCCGGCACTGGATCTCACCCCCAGCCCCATGAACGTCAGAGCATCCTTGTCATCAAAATTTGTAGACCAGGTCCACGACTTCCGTGTCAAGATGCAAAAACTCTTCCAGAATGATATCATTGTCCTCTCTGCAGTTGGGTGATCTCCTGACTGAGCGTGCCCAAGTTGTCCACAAAAGACAACGGAACTGTGGCGGGGAGAAGTGCTTGAGATAGAAGTGAAGACTCAGGTCAACAATTCCCATTGCATAGCAGCTCAGGGCGCAGCCCTCAGGTACACCCGGTGCGGTCCAAAGGAGGTCCGGTTTCACCACGAATGTGAAATCTTCGCTTCATTTGCACAAGAAACTTCTCCAAGCTGACAAAATACAAGCCGGTGCTCCAATATGTTTAGCAAGCTCAAACATTGGCAATCTTGGAATGTTCTCGAGTGATTTTTGAATGTCCGTGAACAGACCCTTCATGGATGTGCCAGCTGCTACACACAATTCCACGAACCCTTAAACACACAATTCCATGAATCCTTGAATCAGGAAAGGTGTGTGCAGGGCTTCCTTGCTGGGGAGGAAACCAAACCGTGTCAGTTGCCGGTGATGCAAGGTGCGCCAATAAAGGTCTAGCCCTGGCTGTGGACCAGCTTTTGTAGACAGCTGAAAACACAATTGGCCTTTAGCGGGCCACCTCGACGATTTTTGGCCAAGCAGGCCACAAAGCCTGTCAAGCGTTGCTCCGGCCAACTGACCCGACCTTCCTCGACTGCAGTCAGCACAGATCAACCAGCGCGCTCTGAAACCCACAAGAAGGAGACAGTTGCAGATCTCGTCCATGAAACCCATCAAGTCCTCTGGCCGCTCTTTCAGAGTATCTAGTGTTGACATGCTGCCAGCCACTGCGGCACCTACACGCTTGGGCGCAAAAATGAATGAGGTTAGGAAAATGAACATGCCGTCCTATCTGCCCGGCGATCTGCGGCATGCAAGCCTTTGCTTGGAGCTGAAAACAAGATTACATACTAGATTATATATTATAGTATATATTATATAGTTGAAAGGCCCTGTGACTCGAATCATGTCCTCAAAGAAGCGAATTCTAAGATTCGTGCAGCCAACCTAGGACTCGGGGCCTGTACATCAGAAAAATGTTGTGCTTTCCAGTCTCAGTCCCACTTCAATTCCTGCCAAGAATTGTGACAGCATCTGAACAAGTATCAAGGAGTCAAGGGATGGAAAAAACACGGAGACGAAACCCCCCTTACCCATCCAGCGTTGACCCTCCAACGCCCATCAATGATGCACCAGATCTCCACTGGGGAAGGTTAGACATCTTTTTGGAGGCAAAAACATCAAGCACTTTTGGCACAATTCCCCGTCAAACTATATGCTTTTGCCCACATCCCCAAATCATCAAAGAAAAGCCTTAAAAAGAGGTATGCGGCATGCGGTATATCGGGACACGGGATCATCTGTGCACAGAGAGCGGGATCACTTGCATACACCGAATCTGGATCATGTGTGCAGGCAGCTTCTGGATCATCTGCACACACACACAGATTGCATGGCGATGGGGTGATGGGTGGGGTGGGGATGTGGTCTGCATCCAAGCAATTGGAAAACAGCAAGAGCGTGGATTGGAACAACAAATTATGAGATCGCGCATTCGGATTCTCAGGCCGCCAACGCATTGGGACAAACTCTGCCAGGAACGATTCGCAATGTGCTGGTTTTACATTGCCCATCTTAGACCACAAAATCTTCCTACCACCGCGCCGCGCGCATATAAATGGTCTGGATTCCGCGTGTACAAACGAACCTGCATTGGTATAACATATTTTCATTTGATTCGCCCAATGTCCAAAGTCCAAATTTCAGAACATCTATGTCTGATGCTGTCTACACACATACACATACTGTATGAGACACTTGACAATGAACATCGTCATATCACCGTTATTCTGGTGACTCTGATGATTTTATCAAGAGCGAAAAGAACCCTAACATGTCAATCAATTATTCTAGGAGACTCGTAGTGCAGCTGAAGGCTCTGCAGGCTTTTGTTAGATTTGCTAGTCAGGAGCTGGAGAATTACAAATCTCTCTACATTATAAGCTCCCTGCAAACTGGAATTCCCACATTAGTGTCATTCAGAAGGGAAGTGAGCTTTACAAGTAGCAGTAGCCAAGTTTGGAGTGCTAATTTTGACACTTAGCAGGTCCTTGTGACAGTGGGACAAAATCTGAAGTCCTTGATCACCTGCCATGTTCAGCTTTTGAGCTTGAAGCGTCACTTGATCAATCCCCATCACATCTTTCATCAACTAGGAAGAAGCACTTGATCAACGCTGCTGAGCTTCTGGCAACTGCTCCCAGCAGGTCAGCGACGAGAGCCTTCCCTCAAAGCCACCCTCTGGGGTCAGCGCATCAGACGCTTCCGAACACTCCCAGAAGAAGGACCAGGCCACGTGAATGTTCACTGGGACATACACCTCGGCGGGCAAACAGCTGCACCGGCACTTACACCCGGAAAAAAAATCATAGAACCATACACATCTTTAAGTATCATAGAATCATGCGCCGAGATAGTGATTTCAAGGGTCCAACCGCAAACCATAGGGCACAGGCCCGAGGCCACATCTCGAGGATCTCATGATATGGGCATGATAGATTTGAAGCACCATTGATGTTCACAGTGTTTCCTGCAGAACCACTGATTGTTTTACATTGTTCTCCCAAGGATTCTATGCTACAACACCAGGTCGACCATAGTCAACCTGTCTGACATTCAACAGTCTTGGAATGCTACACAGGGCATGTTCTGTTGCTTGTCTTTGATCCATGTTTTCACGCGCCAGAGGTTTGGTCTGCACCGTCCCCATCTATGCAACCGGTTGAATGAAGGGCTGCTGGGATGGCTTACCATCAGCGGAGAAAGTAAGAAACACAGCAGGTATGGTTCAAATTAATTATCGGAGCAATTGGGATTAAGCACTGGCACTGCCTTGCCTAAGCAGGGGTCACCTACACACAGAAACAGGCAATGACCCGTGTCACTAGTTGATTGTGACCTTAAAAGTTGGTTACACTGGCCAAGCCGTGCTCCTATGTTCATCCCAAAGGAACGATTGAACTGCATGCTGAACTCCAAGAACCCAAGGACAGCGTCGCGTGGTCCAAGATCTTTTGCTCTAACAAGGGAGTGCCATCCTCGATCCTAACGGATCCATGTAACAAAGAGATGCCAGCACCAGGCTTGGAGGGAACTCGGGCGCTGATCAGCTGTCGTAGCTCCTTGCCACACAGTGGTTGGGACATGCACGTTGAAGCTTTCGCCTAGCAAAGTCTGAACCTGGAGATGCAACAGGTCTGAATACAGCGAAGGATTGGCCATGATGCCTGTGTGTGACGGTGTGTGTCATGAGTTGCAGGGAGCAAGCTTTCTTTTTTCCAAATGGATATATCATGATACATTTAGTCGCTCTCTTTCCTACCAAGGGAGATCAAAGTTGTTCCCTGAAACTCCGTCTTACGACTATCTCACACCGACTGCTTGTGGGTCAATCATTCGCAGCACTTCGGTGCATTCGCCTGGAGCCACAGTGAAGCGCTGTGTGTGAGCATCTGGAAGCACATCAGGCGTGTCGTGACAGAGCTCCAACTACATCTTTAGAAGGTAGTTGGACCGAGCAAGCCCACCCCAAACAACTCCTCACGAGGTACAGTTAGAGTTGGAGATTTCGACTCCTGCCATTGTTGTTTTCAATGCAATTTCACTGCCTGTTTCGCCCATGGGTTTCCCACACACCCACACAGTCTATCACTTGCCCACCAGTGGAACTGCCGCCTCAGAGCACTCATCATTGGTGCACTAGTTCAAAAACTGGATGTCTAAAGCACGAACGATTTACAAGTAAAATGTGCTGTTGTGGCTGTGGCCGGAAAGCCTAGTCCAGTAGCTCAGAGTTCCAACCCCACTGCTGAACAGAATTTGAATAATCTACCATGGGTAGTGGGATGTGGCCAGTGTTCTGATCTCACCAAGCACTGGCACGATGAGACCAGTTTGAGTGGCCCGCAGTGACCTGCATCAGTGAAATCCAGAAAACTGTACAACTTCCTGAGATGGATTTCCTGCCCGATGATCTACAGTGTGTCGGAGATTCCAGGTAGTTGCTGGTAACGCCTCCAGGCGCCTGTGCCTGATATGTAATAACCTCCAATCGTGTCCTTCTGTGAGCTACAGGTGTGTTGGGGTTCGGGGGGGGGGGGGGGGGGTGGGTTGGGGGGGGGGGCGTGGTTTCGTTCGGTTCGTCGATTCGTTCGTTTTCGTGCGTTTTCGTCCGTTCTCCTTCGTTTTCGTTTGATTACGGCCGGTTTCGTTCGGCTCATGTTTCAATCCGAAACTCTTTTGTGTTTGTCGTTCATTTTGTTGCTTCGTTTGTGTGAAAAGCAGCGTATGGCGGTTTTCCCGCTGAGCACTTTGGTGAAAGAATTGACCAATTGGGACCGTTTGAAAACCGACAGAGCAGACTATGGCTTTTTTAAGAGAGAATGTCACAGCTTTCATGCCATGTTGCTACAAAGAGAATTTACACCAAGACTGAGTCCAATCATTTCGTGGAAGGGAGTCCTTCTCTCTGAGCATTGTGTCTCATGCTTCAGATGATTGATCCCAATTTATCCTGATTGCTGATGGAAACACACTCTTATTACTCAGGTACTTGAAATAACAAAAACTAATGTCCAAATTGACGACCCCATTTTTACTCAATTTCTTGAAATGGTCCTCCTCAGGGGGTTTCAGGAGAGATGTAACACGCCACCCACAGGCGCCAGAAGGCGTCGTCACCCAGGTAGTTATGGTGAGTGTCTTCCATTGGTTACGAACCAGTCTCTTCCAACTGAGGACTGAATGAGTTCTTTTGAGGGAACGCATGACTTTCCCAACGAGTCCTGGATGGATGCATTGGTTCCGGTTTCCAAGTGTCCAGTCTGCTAGGAAGGTAGACGCCACATTGCTACATTGATGCCCTGCCTTTACTGTAAAAATCAAGGCAACATTCCAGGACATCTCATGGAATCACCATAAATCACCTAGTTGAGCAAATTCTTCTCCGTGCGTTCAACTCTGAGTTGAACCTGCTGAAGAAGCACACCACCCCATTCATTTAGCCCATCCAATGCCTTTCACCAGCCCTTCTGACTCCACCTGCGCTGGGGACAAGGTCTTCAATGCCATGGCTTCCAAGTTGTCACTGCCCGCATTCGCAGTGACACCCACCTGGCCCCAGGTCACGTCGGTCTACGCATGTATACAGTACCATGGGATGCATGGGGCGCATGTGTCTTGTGGTGGAGGATCTTCCCAGCCTCACATGCCAACGAGCCCTTCTTCATCTTCTTCTTGCTAAGCTCTTGAACTCATGCCAACACATGTTGTAAGTTGTCTCCTTTTCTTGCTTTGTTATACAAGCGAGTAGAAACAAACAAAATGCCAACTCTCACCACAACAAACCGTCTATACCCACTTCCGATCCGATTGTCCCCAATAATGTTGGATCCTGATTAGTAGAAAGGTCCTCTATGATGCTAAAGTTTCAACATGATTCTGAGCCCCATGTGTGTTTTAAGGGGCCTCTGTTATGCTATTTTGTTTTAGATCCTAATTCTTTTAAAAATCACTACCTGAAACATAATTAGGGTTTTAAATTATTCTGAGCCCGGTGCATACTACTAAGCCAATGATTGCCTTGCTGAGACTTGATATTTATAGATTTCTCTAGTTCTTCTTCAAAACTGCTGAACCTGAGAACCTTCTTAGTACTCTTCTTGGTAGTATAAAAGGATTGCTGAGAATGTCTACAAAGAATCTGAGAAACGAAAATGAAGATATAATTGCAATCTATAAAATGAAAAGAAAGGACAACTAATACTACAATCAATTGCAAAAGGAATTTTGCCAGGAATCCAGATTTGTTTTGGCGGTAGTTTATTATAGAGGACCTCCCATTTGTTTAGAGGAGTGGGGGATCCCCTATACAAATCAGGATCCAACATTTTGGCACGTCAGAGTTTGTCTATGGGATTGAGTGAACACCTAATAGTTCACATCAAAAGCTTTTGATCGAAGAAAGTGTTCAACAATTCCTAGGGCTCCAACTACCTCCCGAGGCTTTCGGAGTTTGCGGGGTGGGTGACCAACTGGCCAGTTCCCGCCTTCTGAATCCGTCGCGAACCACATTTTTAGAAAGGGTATGATTTGATCGAATTCCGGAGAGTAAAAACAATCACTGAGCTGAATGAGCTGAAATCCCGCCACTTATGCGAAGTCCAAAATCGATTACCTCCAACTGCAACCTCTTCAGCTGCCCAATACAGGTTCAAGGTCAACTGCTCCAACTGACCTCTCCGGAGAATATGACACGTATTTACAAAAAGAACAACATATTCAGAATATCAACACATATTAGAAACAAAAAGGGGAAGACAAGAAGCTACGCACCCCTTTCATAAGGCCCCTTTAAAGGCCTTCCTCTCTTTCTGACCTCCCTCCCTCTCCATCTCTGTGCAAGACACCTCAGAGACAGGGCCCCACTTGAGGCTTACAGCGCGGCGCTGATGGAAGCCTTCACGCCAGGCCGCCAAGCCATCCAAATAGCCTGAAAGAGGCTGGTGGTGGATCATCCTAGTGGAAGAACCATTCAAGGCTGGAAGGCTATTATTAGAGAAGTTTGGGAGGCCACAAGAGTCTCCAAAACTCTGAGTCGAAAGGGGCACCTGAGGCACCCGCTAAGGGCTCGAAATCGATTCCAAGGGCTAAGGACCGATGTTTTTCTGGGCTCCTTCTGTTTCTGGTGCACTCACCAAGAGGAAATGAAGAACATCTAATTGGTCTAAATCTTCAAACAGGGGTCTATGCTGATGTCTTATGAATATTCTTAGAAGGCTAAGAATCAAAAATACTTGAAACCAACAATGGGGATACATCTATCCAATGTTTATGGCCTTGTGGGGGTGCCTAGGGCTAGGTCAATTTGCTAAATCTGATTTTCCAGGTTCCAGGACTGTCAAACGTCAAGGTTGGAAAGTACACCTGAGATGCATCTTCACTTGGTTTAGTTTGTTTAACATGTTCAATGTATTACAAACAAACGAGTAGTGACTTTCTCTGGACCCTCATGAATGGCCAAATTAAGCTGGGGAGGTGCAACTGTCAGTTCCTGTGAGGGGATGAGGTGGATGGGCACGTGTCAGTAAACATGTGGGGATACCTTTAGCACCAAGGTATCGGAAGATGGCTGTCAAACACAAAACCTGTGACACGTTCTGAGACGAGACGCAGTTGGCCGCAGCATAGGAGGCTCCGCCAGCCAGGCCTGGAGACGTCTGTCGGCCGAACAGCACCCAAATGGAGTTCATTTTTGCTTGTTTGACTTTTATGCATCATAATAATCTATGTTATATACGTCCCTTTGATTAGACTCCAAACCTTTAATTTAACTTTTCTTTCTGTCTGTCTGTGCTTCTTTCATTCAAATATTGGGTTCTTGCCCATGATGGGAGTTCTTAAAACCGGCAGCCCTTCATTCTTCTTGCCCAAAGACCACTGGAATTTACACAATCAGCTGGACATACGACGTCTGCAAGGATGTTGAGTTTGGGGCGATGGGTTGGTAGGAATCGAAGAAGTGGATAGTTGTTGAACATGGATAATATCCACCAGCTCCAAACTGCTTGGCATCCCGTTTAAGTAGGCCTAAGTACAGTTAAGTGTATCCCAGTAGACACCTCACTACAGCCCAAAGACGAGAAGCACACTCGGACCATCCATGGTACCCTTGTCCCTGTGTCTTCCCCAAAGTCATGGCACAAGTATATGCCGTTGTAGGGGATTCACTGGATTTTGATATAAGTATATGTTTTCTGCAGTTCGTTTCGAAACATATCAGAGCCCCTTCCGAGGCCCGCGCCAATAGTGGCTGAGACCGAGCTAAAGAGCACGAAGAGTTCTAAGTCAGTGCCCAAGATCTGCAAGTGCCAAGCTCCGCTGGCTTTGGGGCCCAGCACCTGTCCCAGCTTGGGAAAATATGAACTTGTCAGGGGCGAAATGAACCGATAGATCCCCCAGGGTCCTCCAGCTGACAAATGATCAAGTGCATGATCTACTGCAAAGCCAAGGCTCTGAGGTTATATTGTGCAATCTTGTGCAGTCTGCGGCTGTGCAGCTTTCAATACTGCTTTTGCCCCCCCCTCCAGTGTCCTGAAGTTCGTAAGATCTTCCCTTGATTGGAACCAATTGACGGCACAAAAACGTCTCATTTCGCTGAAAACCAATGATTGAAGCGCTTCTCCCAACTGCTTCTCCGTTCCAATCTCATGAGTGTAGCCTTCTGCATGCGCCCAGCATCGAGCTCCGTTAGGGGGCAACGGTCGAGAATGCCCGCTGCATGCACCACGCCTGGTGCCGGTCATATGCGGGTCAAAGTGGCTCCCAGAATAAACCTCTAAAAGTCGGAGACGCCGACTCACTGACCCGGCAAGTTTGCATCTTCAAAACCCGTCCAAGAAGTATATACATATGATATCATATGATCCTCAAACGAATCTAGAGGAGTGAGCCCTCTCTTTCAAACAATAGAAACATTAGACACTACTTCTACTTACAGGAATTATCGATTTATATACACCATTTGGAGATAACTGTCGGTTCTCAACTAGCAAAATGATCTTGTGCCACTCTTGGAGGCGGAGCTGAGGCAAGCAGGGGACGCTGCAGATTGAAACCATCTTTTTACCTTCAGTTGAACAAACCAATGAACCATAAACGTTGATGAAATCGAACCCTGAACTTTGGTCCAGTGCTCGGTTTTCCTCTTGTGCCCATTACACGTCATCCCTGGTCCCGCCTCGGACTGGATCGTTGGCTTCTTTTCCCTCCTGCAGGAGTTTTGCGACCTCGCTGGACTTGCTGCTGTCGCAGGCCTTGACCTGCACCGTCCTCGGTCAGAACGGGGGAGTACCAGGGAAATGCGTGGTGCAGGTGGTCAGTTGAAAGTCCAAATGGCTGCCAACTCGAGTGCTTAGTGTGATCTTTGCAGGTATGCTTCCTGAAGTAAGGATAATGAGGACTTGCTGGGGCAACTAAGTGGGAAACCACGTCGTTTGGGGGGTGCAAGTCTTTCTTTGATACATCTTGATACACACACGTCTTTCTTGCTCGTTTCCGGTTCCTTGGTTTAATCCACCCTGAATGATCCGTTCGCAATTGCTCCAGACTCTATCCTTGGCAAATCCGCCAACTTATATCAGGTGCGTCGTATTGGCACACCGACTCCTTGCGGTTGATTGCGATATCACAAGCTCAAACCACTGGTGCTGGCCCATGCTCGTTGGGCAAATCACCCAGTCGGCTACTTTTACTGGGTACCGGATCCAAGCTTCGATCCTACCTTCGGACAGTCTATCCTGCCTCTGTGGTTCAGTTTAGGAATCCCCTGATTCTTTCCATTCAATATTCCACACTTTTTCCTCTATGAGGTTCTTGGAAGGTGGATGTACTGTCCAACCTATCCCTTGCAAACCTGACCGGGTGGCACTCCAGGAAGAAGCTGCAAGCGCCTCAGCTGTTCCTGCAGGCGTTTCTGACCTGCAGCGATTAGGAACTGGCGATGGGCAGCGCTTGCTGAGTACAGGAGACCCACCGCGAGCACAAGAAGTGAGAGAATGATGCGTTCTTCTCTCCTGACACACCAGCAGCTCCTATATCTTGGATACGCCAAGAACTACCACGTTAGTTCTATAGGGATTGAAATTATTATGGTGCATCAGAAATGATTGAAATTCCTAAAGCACATTCAAAACTTTCTCAAAACAACTAGGAACAAGAAGCTACTAGGAACAAGTGCATCGCTTCTAGTAACAAGTGCCTTACTAGTAGTAACAAGAAGCTATTAGTGCCTTAACTTGGTTTTTCACTCTGCCCCGAAACGCCCACACCACACCTTCGGCCACACGGCCGCTGCGAGAGGTCAGCAAAAGGCCTGCGACCATAGCTGCGCAAGGCAGGAGAGAAAACACATGACAATTGTTTGATTGATTGGATCTTGTCATGTCAAGCAGTGGCTTTGTGGGTACTTGCGGCACAAATGACGCATAATTACGTAAGTTTTGTCTGAAAAGAACTTGCAACCTACTTGGCTGGTGGATTCCGTGGTCGATTAAATCATCTCAAAACACGATTTGCGAGTCTGGGCAGTCAGCTGGAATGTGAGCTCTAATCCGGAGACCTTGGAGATAGAAACATTATGCCGCCACCTGAAAACACACGCTACATCACGCATTCCAACTGCTCCTGTGTTCTAAGTGCCCCTTTGACTGACTCCACGTTGGTGAATCAGGTATTGATTTATTGTTTAAGTTATATCATACCTATAGTTCTAGTTCTAATTGTCGGTCAAGTACTGTGGAGACGATTTGAAGTTGATTGTGATGAGTTTCCAAATTATCTTCAAATCCATCTTCGACAGCTAATTTGGCTGCTTGGGTCCCACTGTGTTACTATGTCCCGGAGCAAACAGCCTGGCGCGCCCAGCATCACCAGCTCCTCAGCTGCTACCAGGCCCAAGCCGCCCAGGCCACCGGTCACCAGCTGGACACCCTTCTTCACCTGGAAGGATTGGCAAAACCCAGTCACGGCATGTCACGGCTTACTTTGCAGGCACTCGGTCACTAGGTGAAGAGCCGGTCATAGTTCTTGAATGGTCACAGTGATTACTGGTCAAACGGTCAAGCAGTGGATCTTTGCTGTTGTGGTCTGAAAGCTTCACTCTTACACTGCAGTATAGCACGGTGGATACAATTAGTGAGCAGTTTCGGTACCCATCCCGCCTTCCACGTGGTGCCATTTGCTGAAGCTTCTACCCAGTGCCCAACCGCTCAATCAAGCTTGTTGGCTGGCTAGACCCTGCAATTTACGAATGAGTGGTAAAAAGAGACTCCCCTCTGTTCAGTGTGATTTTCAATGATTTCAGTGTGGTGTGGGTCTTCAGTTGTTTAGGATTAAGGTCCTGAAGACCCGTAGACACAACGTCGCTCTCACCCTGTTTCTTATCCAACCTGCGTTTGGTGGCAAATGCTTATCACTTATAGAGCTCATCCAGTTCAAGTCTTCGGCTAAAAGCAAACCCCCGCCTCAGCAGCTGAGCTGTTGGGCCCGTCCCGCATCGCATCCTGACGCTGCAGGTTGAGAGCCTCCTGCGGCGCCTCCACCACACGGGGCACCAAACGCCCGCGTTCTCTGCTCAGCTGGGCCTCGCAGGAGTCTGTCCACAGTATGACTTCACTTATATATTCTATATATAATTACGAATCTTAATTATATAAACGCATACTCACCACTAGTTTTTGGTCTTCGCAAGAATGGATTTACTTGCAATTGGAGACTTCTAGAAGAAGGGACCTGCCTCCACGTCGCTCTCTGCGCCCGCGAGCTCAGCAAGGATAGCCTGGCAAAGGATGTGTGTCTGTCGTCTTTTTGGTTTCTTAGTTGAAGTCCTCTAGTCTAGCTTGGCTTCAGCACAAACAACACTCGCTCGGTTGCTCAACTCGCCTTGGCAGTGTCCTCGTCTGACAGAGACATGTGCACATCCAGTGCCTGCAATCAACGTCGAAACCCGGGTTTAGTTCCGCTATCCAGCCAGCAATGGAAAACCAACCGCGAGGCTGCCCTAAGCTCCATCTCAAGCGCGTTCAGCTGTTGTTTGTCGGAATTGGTATGAAATGAACAAACCTCTACAGTTCTACATTGGATGGGATATTCTGATATTCATCATCAGGAGGGTCTGCAGTGTACTTGGAACCTTGAGAACACTTTATATTACTAATCATTCAGCAATGCATTGTACTACAATCCTTAATCTTTCAAGTATAGTAGGTGGCTGACTGTCTTGGTTAAGGAACTTAGAATCATAGTGTTCCACGGGGCTGTGTTCCACTTCCATGTTTCTTTAGCAAAGGGCACACCCCAAAGCCAAAACTGCTTAAGCACCTGTCTTACCTGTTTAGAAGGATGAGCACTCCACAGTGGTTAGGAAGTCCCCCAGTCACAGGCTACGTGAAACAGTGGATTTTCAATCTGTGGGGCCGAGGATACTAACCACTTGTCAAAGTAGGGTGGTCATCATCCTGAAACCACTTGCTAATCATTCAAGTATATAGCGGATGCTAAGTGCACTGGCTCACAACTCAACAATCGTCTAACCAACCATTATCTGACCAATTCTCCCAAAAGGTGCTCTGCAGCCGCTCTTCCCAGGTTGGCCACTCCTCTCCAAGAACATCCCCTTGCCTTGATGACCACCCGTGGCATCTCCAGCCGAGCAGATCGCACCAAGCCCCACAGGGAGATCGAGGCATCGAAGTTCGCACGTGTCCTGTTCCCCAAAGATCATGGGACTTTTGAATTCTAAGTATTTTGTACATGGTGCAGGATGACAGTCCAAATGGGTGAATCCTGTGTTTAAATGAATGAATGTGTGAGTCGACATGGCTCATGAGGAATGAATTCACGATTCATCCTGTTCAAGGACATGTGACTGAACTGGTGAGTGACAGATTTGGGGCGGAACTAGTGGTGGCCAAAAGCACATCAAACGTAGACCCACTGAGGTTGCTGATTGTGACCGGCATATATTGGGTGGTGGGTTGGTATGTTTGAGTTAGATGGTCTCTCGAGCAAAAAAACTTGCTGGGATCAAAACAGCACCTACCTAGGACCTAGGATAACCGGAGAGAAGGAACAAGTAAATACAATAGTTGGTGGTTGAGTGCTCGATTACAAAGCATCAATAAAACAAGAAAGGCATTCTGGAGGTGGGTTTTGGCACTTTTTGTTTAAGAGAACCATGCGTTGTAGCAGGTGTGAAAACAGGTTTTAACCCGCTTTAAATCTATGCAAGCCAATGTATCTTCACTAGCAAGCCGTTGTTCGGCATATAAATATATATATAGATGCTTGTCAAAACCAACACTCACAGGCATACAAACACTTAAACATTTGTAGGCGTCCATTTGCTGGTCATAGCCTTTCGTTTTCTCTACAAAATTCACTGCCCAGCCCCACAATTGATCTGAAAACAACGCAACTGCTGTGATCCAGAAACTGCCCCTTGGCGCACTGGTGTGTCTTCCAGGGCACGCGTCGAAGGCGCCCCTGGTGACCACCAGCAGTAGCTTGGTCTCGGGCGCCATGGCCGCTGCTTGGAGGAATTTCAAGAGGTCTTCCAAAGCCTCCGGAGAGAATGTGGAAGGATGGGATAATCAGTTCTCAGATCCTCAATTGGGGGCGCTGGTTTCTTGTGTTTCTCGTCCATGGAACTACTGTACAAGCTTTAAACATGCGAATGTGTGTCGAACACTTTTTCAATCACAGAAATGCAAAGTATCCAAAACGTAGACCTTTTTTCTTCATGTTTGGGACACGCATGAGGTTACAGGGTGACCGCTGTAAGCTTTGGGAGAAGTTAGTGACAAGTCTTCAGACAAGTTGGCCCCTTCGAAATAGCTGGTTCATGAAATGTCCTTGCCAACATGTACACAAGCCAATTCTTTAGATAACCACGTGTTGAACTCACGAAACAACAAGTGGTTGAAGAGCCTCAAAAAGCGCTGTGCCTGGTGTGCCCTTGTCCGTTCGATCCATGGACGCCCTCCCACCTTCGTGGACGGCTCTCCTTGGGAGACTTCAATGGGAGCGTAGAAGACCGCGCAGCTCTTCATGGCCTGTGAGTTGAACGGCGGATGAACCCTCCCGCACAGAATGATGAGTGAAGGAAACACCTGTATAACTGTATAATCCTGTCCCTATCTGTGCCTTGTTTTTTGCTTCAGGGTGGTTTGTTGTTGTGAATCTATCATAATCATTCATAATCTATCCAACACACATAAAAACAGGAAGAGGCCCAAGTGGCGGAGGGACGTGCTTTATTCCGAGTACCCATTTGAAACCACTACCCCACAAAAGAAATCATTTCGAAGACCCCGGGATACAGTTTGTATTTGTTTTTGAGTTACCACCTTCGTAAGCCACTACAAACTACAAACATAGGTATATTTGGGGTTATGTACCCACCCACTACAATTACCACCAATCATGCCCCTCACTAGCGCCACACCGCATTTACACACGCATGTCCACCTTTCCCCAATGGCACAAAGCCATGCAAACGTACATTCCTCCGAGGCCGCGCAAAACCGCATGGCACGGCGACATCACCTGTCGACATCTTTCGTTGTTAGTCTGATGAAACGTTTACAAGCGAAGAATATCGAAGAATGACTATTTTTGCTTTTAATGGTAAAGGGAAAAGGAACACCCCTTCGATCTGGAGCTCTCTTTTCTTTTTTCGATCGAGTTAAACAATTATAAATACATGCAACTTTCGTAGGCAACTGTACAGTTTTAAAGCTCTTCCCAGGTTTCCATCTTTGCGGGTCCTCCTATTTTGGGAACCCCCTATTACCAAACACGACACCAAAACTTTATTGATTGCGGGGGACCGGTGTTTTTTAATTAGGAGGAATTGATTTTTGAGGAGACCATGCTCCACACCTTCCATGCTTCTTGGACGGAGGACTTACAGGAGATCTGCCATGATATTACAGATGCACTCAACAAACATCACGTTTCAGGTGCCTTGGTTCATCAGTTTCAAGATTCACACCAAATCCAGTCCGAAAACCAATGGAACCACTGGGCACAGTGGCACCGTTTTCTGCTGATCCATAGATCTAAAAGTTTGCACAGTTTGGAGATATATACTGGTATTGACAGTCAAGTCAAGCCCTCCTTGAATTGTCTTGTCCAATACCAGGTGACAGAATCGGTGACCGTGATTTGTGGCCTCGGCCATCTTCGCAGGCTCTGTTCCCGGTTGCAGCGCCACCTGGGAACCGACAGAGCCAACCGAAGGCGCAGTGGAGATCCGGTGGACGTGCTCGTGTGCTTTGCACTGGCTGGGTCCATCTCGGTTTCGCTGGATGATGAGATTGGAACAAACAATAACAATATACAATAACAATTCAATAGCATAAACATGGTGCCAGGTGCCAGACTTGGAATCTATTTGGGAATGCTCAGGAAACGCAAGATGTCTTGGCAGCCGTGGAAGCAAACAAAGGTTCACACCGGTGCCCGGTTTACTCTGTATTCCAGCGATGTATCTACTCTTTTTTGCTCCTGCGGCGTTCGCACATTTGAATAAAGGTACCCTCCAACTCACTACCATGGAATTGGAAGGTGGACCCTGGGACGTCGGAGTTATCCACTTTCAGGTCCATATTAGTGTGGGAGTGCAGAACATAATACATCATGAACACACATAAATTTCTGCCACGCCAACTGGTTGATTGGCAAAGCCCAGATGGTATAGTATCACAGAAAATTGCTCACATCGTCTAAAGACTCACACACGAAGAAGACCCAAGAGTTTCACGCCGTACTGTAGTCATCTGCAGTTGTCTGTGGGTTGTTTTGCAGTGGTTCTCGATGCCCAATCCCACGGACAGCTGTTCCTTTAAGGTATGCGCCCAGTCACAAAGAGGCAAACACCTACATCCTAGTAGTAATGCCCTTTGTTACCTGTAGCTTCTTGTTACTAGTAGCGTCCTTGCTCCTAGTAGTAAGGCCAGGAGTCAGAAGCCCCTAGTAGCTTCTTGCTCCTGGTAGCGATGCCCTTTGCTCCTAGTAGCTTCTTGTTACTAGTAAGATCATCGAATTTCTTTGACTCCATCACCTGAGACCATTGTGCAATACCCATTCTGGCCCTTGCGCGCTGGTCTTCTCGTCGGACCTCCGCTGATGCCGCGCTGCCAAGGTACACCCTTGGGAAGTGCCCTCACAAGAGCATCCGACAAGCCCTGCTCCGCCAAGACGGAGGTGCCTTCCATCACCGAGGTGGTCTGGACCACATCTGCTGGCACCCAGTCCTGATCAGAATCCATCGCCCCATTTGTTCCGGACGAAATAGAAGGGAAGGAAAGGAGGGAAGAGCCGGGAGCTGGGATGCCCTTTAGTTTGCCTGGGATTGGAATTCCCTCTCAAGTTCTATCCCCGAGGTAGCTTCCAGGATGACAATGCCTACCCAACAATGTTCATTCATATCCAATCATAGCATTTCTTAAATGGAAGATATTTGACAGCATTGGAGCATTCGTGGTGTAATTACAAAAGGTGAGCCTGCTGCCGTTCTAAACTTGGCAGCAAACTAAATACCCCAGGAACAACATGTTCGCCTTACCGAACATTGTCAACCTATTGGTGTTCCGTTTCCAAACAAACATAAACAAACCAATCCTTCTACCAAACCACTGCATTACTAGTGGAGTCCACCGTCCTGCCTGGACCAATTATATAATCTTCGGCGTGATACTCTCAGTCAAAGAAGCAAACCCATGAAAATGCCTGGACAACGGTACTAGTTGCGTTATAGACTCAGCCACCAAAAAACCTCACTGGTAGAGGAAAACGCACTTCCCATCACCCTTAAGTTTGGTTAAGGGTGAACACTTCTTCATGAAACGAAGAGACCGTGCAAACATCTAGAAACACCAGTCACTTGTATTGTTCACGGAAAAGACTGCCTTGCAGTCCACGAAGTCAGCAAAGACAAGAGTCTTCCAAGTAAAGCACTGTTTGCATCCATTCTCGCCATGGCTTCAGCACCTGCGTGTGCTGTTGGAAAGGAGGTTTGAGCATGCCTTGTAGAAAAATCTCTACCTCCACTCAATACACTCCAGTAGATACCGCTCACTCATATCCTTGCCAACGAAAGGTGATTTCAATCTTCAATCCATCGGCTTCAACGTTCCAATCAGTTCATGCAAATCATCGGATTCACAACGGACATGTTATATTGTCAAATTATTCTAGAACATTATAGGCCACAAATTCAGAGCTTGACCAACACTCACAGCTCCTCCTTTCCCACCATTTCCCACCCATTCTGCCAGCCCACCCACCCACCCACCCACGCTCTGCGCCTTGCGGGCAAACTTCATGGGCGCCCGCTGTGCTGGCTCCTCGGTGGCCAAGGTAGCTTCCATGAGGCCATGACCGTTGGTGCCGGAGAAGCCGAAGGAAGACACCTCGGCACAGAGCACCGTTGTGCGTTAAGCGCTTTGGGAGGGTGGCGGATGTGAACCTGTAGCTGTGGGAGTGGAAACCAACTCCAAACAGTGTCATTTTGATCACAAGACATGGGACATCATATTCAATCAAAGCAAAAAGAAGGTCGATGTTGTCTCAGATGGTCCAAATGGTTCCCAAGTCCCGGACATTGGTTCAATCCTGACTGATCTCAGGGTGTGCTTGATTTCCTCCACTAAGTTGGCTCCAGGAAGACCCATGCTCAAATACTGTTGGATCGATGCTCAAATACTGCTTGCCGTGAAGCTCCTGTATCTGTTCGGTGTAAATTGTGTTTTGACTCCGGCTTCCCTCGAAAAGGATTTTGGCCGCGTGAAGTTGAACCATTGATTCAAAAGCTGGTGACGAAAACACATCCAAATGCGCTTTAGAGCCGCCCAATCTGCTGGAAGATCAAGCAGAAAAGCAAATATACATGCAATTGCCTATATGAAGCATATAGAAACGATGTCCAAAATGTGCTCCACTCTAGTTTCTATCGGGTCACTATAACTCCACATACATGAACCTGTGGACACATGCCGTCCATCAACTATAGTAGGCAAAGGAGCATAGCAAAAAACTAATTGATGGGTTTGCTACACATGGTCACTTTATGCCCCACCTGGTTTAGCTTGACGCCATGTCACGCCAGAGCGAAGGCTTGCGCTCTTCCACTCCACCAGCTTGTCTGGCCTGACTCGCTAGGCCGGATCGAGAACAATTATATACCGTACTTCAAAGGGGAATCAACATCAAGATGAGAGAGGGAGCTGTACCAGTGTTCTGTTTCCAGAGTGGCTATCTGGTGATTCTGCCCCATCAAATTAGTTCTTTCCCATGCTTTGTTCATGGAATGCACTTGTCATTTTGTCATTTCTATCTATATATGTATAGTGATTAGGTAAAAACAAACACAATATCATCTCACCAATCCAACAAATCCAGACATACAAATACTCTAACATACTCCAACCATCAGGTTTGACCATCGAAAGACTTTCATGGAGGGTGGTAAAGACTAAGATGCACTAAGACCATCCATTCACTGCCAATCTGATCGACATTGCCAAGAAGCATCAAGACCTGGAAGCCCGACCTTCGGTTGCGGGTTGGGAGCGGCTTCAATCATTCCAATGGCGTCCAACAAGGGACAACGGGTGATTCTGGCTATGCGGCTACGCCCCAAAAGCTATGAGACCGGCGGTGCTTTCGGCTGGCCCAAAGTCCTGGTCAACAATACAAACGCGTCCAGGTTTAGCCGGGCTTGATGATTGGAGAATCAAAAGACTGGTTGTACAGTAATATAATATAGTTGAACTGTTACGGTATCCTGAGTTTGGTGCTTTGCGCTCTGTGCTCTGGGGAAGCAGAATGAACAAGAACAACAGCATGTGGACACCAATGGTACAATCCAGACCTTTGGCTCAACCTGGAAAAGCCGTCCAAACATGTCCAAACCAATGACTTTGACGCAACGTCCCAACAAACGCAGCTGGTCTCAAACCTTGCAAATATTTTGCTATTTGTATTTGCTGAAAGGCCTCAGTGGCAATCTTCAACCCCCCGCCCTCCAAAATTTCAAAGGCAACTCTTTCAAACGCGCTCATCTCGCCAGGAGGCAGGTCGATGTTGGGATTCAAGGTCTCCAAATGCAAATTCGGGGTGATTTGTGCCTGAAGATGGACGGGAAGGAAAAGATGCGGATGGCTCCGGACGACAGAGGAAACACGAAATGTTGACATGTTCATGTCTAATTTTGCTAACAAACAATGGTCACAAAGGTGCAAGTAGGACTTTAGCACACTTCGGCAATGAACGAAAATGCGTTCTCTCAACAAGACCTGCTAATAAATTTGGGCCCTGATCAACACCAAGCCTGGGTATGATCCGTAATTATCCAACGAAGAAGTGATTTGCACCTAGTCACACCAAGCTTGGCCACTGATAGTCGACAATATTGACCAAGTGATTTCTACATTGGCATACCAGCTGACCATAGCAAGGCGGGGCTGCTTTTGCGCCTTGGTAATTGCCAAAATGACCTTCGAAATGCCCGCCACGCCGGCAGAGCCTGCAGGGAATCGTCTCAGTTGACAGGCGGGGAAGTAACACTGGGCTGCGATCAATTAAAACAAACAACAACAATCTTCTTTTGAGTTACTATATAATAGGAACGGCCTCGAACCTAATAGCGATGGCCTCCAACCTACTATGGATACATGATATATGTTGATGAGTATGAATGGTATAATTCAAGCAGTAGTGAATCATGGTAAATGGTCATCTAGAGGCTTTATCAATGATGATAATGATTGTGTACCTGCAGTGCTATGGCAAAATTCGAGTCGGTAGGTTGGTTGGTGTCCGTGCTTGGTTTTGCAAACATGACTCTTTTAAAAAGAAAGATATCGAACATCACTTCCTTTTTTTTATCATTGTTTTGCTTATCAAAATACATATATATATATATAATATATATATCTTTATACATCGGTGTTTGCTGGTGGAGTCTCTGCCGGGGTCCCTGGACAAATCCATATCGCTCAGGGAGGCCCATGTCAATACAACAAATAACGAGGCAACTCATCAAGTTTCAAGTTCAGGTGGTGCGAAACCTTCTTGCTCCCAAGATGATCATGGATTCTTGGACACCCTCAAATTATTCAATCAATGCCTCTGTTGGTCAACACTACTGACTGAACTGACCCGACTTTTGGAGGTGAACAGGATGGACACAGCTCGCCTACATCCATCCCCTCAAGAATTGCGCAACGCCTTTCAAAACACCCCCCCCCAAAAAAAAAGAAGGCGTGTGGACAGTAGACACCCAGGCACACGCGAATGGCGTCTACTGGTGAACTGGGCCGTTCAAAAATGAAGCCTGCACCGGGCAACGCCGCGCCTTCCAAGTGTCCGATGTTGCTTTTTGTGGCTGCCAGGATCAATGGCTGAGCCTCGCTACGGCCTGCGTTTTTCAGCTTTGATCCAAAAGAGGGAGGCAACCCAAGCCAAAGCAAACGTTTCGGTGTGTGATATGTCATGCACATGTTTACATGCAAAAGAAGAACAAACTCTTCGGAATGCTGTAGATTCAGAAACACCAACCCAAATGGCGGGCCTTTGCCATAGACGGCTCGTTGAGCGCCCACTTCAATAGGATCTCCCAAAGCAGTGCCTGCAAGTGAAGAATCGTCAAGCACATAGAGAACGAAGGAAATGGGATTGAATCCTACTGGATGTGGATTGTGGGATGAACATCGCTGGAACGCCTATTTGGGGATTGGTGTACTTAAACCACATTCAAAAGAATCAAGGCACTTTTCAAACACTTTGAAAACAGAACTTGGCCAACCCCAAGAAGCCTCTTATAATATATCACTCTGGCCACTAAAAAGCCCTCTGAAAGGAGAAATGGGAGTGGCACTGGGCTCCCATTGCGGACGTCCCATATGTCTGTTGGGGCCCATTGTCTTGAAAGAAAAGCCCAAAGGTGCACAATTCACCATGCTTTCAACTTCCAGTACAGTATCTCTTAGATTCTTTTAGACATCAAAGTTCCCCTCTTCCCACCCAACATGTTTAAGAATAAGACCTTACTTAAGCTTCCAAACAAAGAAAAAACAACCGGATCACGTCTGTGCTTCTTGACCCTCTAAAACTCTCACCCTGGAATAACCAAAAGAAATAGGTCTAATCAGTCATGACTTTTCCGTGAACACTCTTTTGACGATTCACCATCAATAAGCTTGACAACACCCAGCAGGCGGTGCAAGCACCTGTTCCATGGCACTCGATCATCGTCACATCTTCCCCGGCGGTCTGTCGCTCCGCCAGCGCGCTGCGAAGCACGCGCTGCTGCGCTGTGCCGTTGGGCGCGGTGATGGTGGCTGCACGGCCGTCGTGGTTGATGGCCACACCCGTGAGGGAGACCTTGAGGTGAGAGGTATCAGGTGGTTGAGAAAGAATACACCTGGACCTTCCACCGGTACATGTATTCTGCCGTTTGGCGAAACAAGATGTTTGTTCGCCGTCAAGAAGGCTGTTCATGTCAAGAGTGCCTCTTTGATGTTTTACAGAGGTTGATTAAATTCGCGGTAGACAAAAGTCGCCATTTCAAAACCTTGACTTAGCATGGAAATAGAAAACAGTTCAATGCAAAAAGTGCTTCAAGACCAAATGGTTGGTGTTTGCTTGAAAAAGATTGAAAAAACAGGTCTGATTGAACAGGCATATAATATAATATAATAGCATAGCTATGAAGACCCAGGTATAGGATGGTATAGGAGCCCCCAAACCTCCCGCCCCCCCAACATTTGATGTCAAAACAGTTGCAGTACAGTGCTGTTGACAGAGACAATTGTGTTATGCCACCTCGCTTAGCTGGTGATCGGTGCCAATAAACTGTTTGGGCCCGGGCCTGACAAAACATTTGAACACTACTTTTGAAGGCGGGGATGAACTGGATGCTTGAAGGTATAGACAAACTTGTCAATTCCACAGTCTCTCCAAGCCACCAGCTCATTCTCTCCCGTGCCAGTGCCACGGGTGATCCACACCGAGCCAATGCCTTCGCCACGCGCGAAGCCATCCGCCGACTGGTCAAAGGTCTTACAGCGTCCGTCGAAGGCCAGGCCACGCATCTTGGAGAAACCGACCTCAGCTGGAGCTGTCCCCTGATCCCATCGAAAAGCAGCTTTTCTAAGTAGCTTCTTGTTCCATCTTGTTCCTAGTAGTAATGCCAGGAGCTACTAGTAGTAATGCCCTTTGTCTCTAGCAGCTTCTTGTGTCCTTAAATCCAACAATTGACAATTGGTTTAGCCTTTGTTGGCCTGATAGTATATACCTTATGAATTATATACCAAAGGGGCTAAGGGTCTAGGTATATACACTTGAGGGCGGTGAAAAGAAACACACACCCAGCCGTCAATGCAACCCTGGCACCCCTCAGCTTGCAGCAGTGATGATCCCTAACAGCGGTCGCGAGATGCTTGGGCCTATCTGGCATATCTAACTGGATGCTCTAGCGCCTGGCTTCCCCTGCTTTTGAGAATCTCCAAGTGGCCCAAATGCACCCAGAGAGCTGCACGTTCGCGCCGGTGGCAATCGCACTCTGACACCTTCGCCAACATGGGTTGCACTGGGAGGGTTGGGAAACTTGGCAACTGAGCCTGCGGACACTCAAACTTTTTCTGCCGAGATCTGAGTACTGAGTACCTCTCTTTGGGTGTTGTTGTTTGAATGCGTCTTGGCATGTCTCGGCGCTGAATTGACATTATAGTTACTATGATCTGTATTGTCTATGGTTCCAGCAACCACTTGTGATCGAAACCAGCAAGTGAGTGGACTATGGAAACATTAGAACTCGCTCCCAAAAGCACCCTGTCTCATACCTGGGCCTTACTCAAGGCGTTGTACACGAACCAGCTGGGCGCCCCGGTAGCCAGGAAAGCGACCGGAGAAGGGATACGCTTGCAGGTCGCAGGTGTCTAAGCACAATTTGCAAGAAAAGAGGTCTTTTCCTACCCAAAGAAAAGTTTCTGGAAATGATCGGCAAGTCTTATTCTTGCTTGTATCCCTTTGATTTCCGGTCTATGACCTCACTTCATGCTCTTTGCCTCGCGTTCGGCGAAACGGAGTCGGAGGCCTGTTGAGCTTGACAGCTTGAGAGCCTGGGTGTGCCAAGGCAGCGCTTGTTTACGCTTGCGTTGTCCAAAGAGGTGTGTCAAACCGCGTGGAGCTGGGATATGCTCTGTGAGCCATGCCGCCTATTGAAACATGATATATTTTGTTGACCAGTATGACATGTAAACAATCTGAGCTAAACATGTTCTTTAACCCTTATCTGCCAACATGACCGATGTCAAAGGATCTCCTTTACTACAAATGTTGCTACAAGGGGAACCGCGGCACTCACATAAACTCACTATTGTACTACTACATGCTACCCCGAGTTTGTAATCGTGTACTCCTGTGGCTCCTCTGCTTCTCATAACGATCAAAGCCTGGGTCCAAATTCACAGCTCCAGACTTGCAAGGTTCCAGGAGAACAGCTGCGATCAGGGCCTGGTTCACAAACCCCTTAAGCTTCCACCTACTTGGGGAAACAAGAAAATAGATACTCTGCTTTTGTGAGATCAATCCCAAGTCCTCTGTTTTCCCTGCGCTCAAGTGACTCAAGCCAAGCACTCCTGACAGTTTGTTGCCTAGTTGATAATATCTATCTACCTATATATATATATATATAGCCCGAGTATGCGTAAATGTCAGTATCCTTCTACAGTATCAGTTAGCTAAATACATCTATCCCACCCAAGAAGATCACCCAACTGCACGGGTTTGACTACAACACCAGTCTAGTCTAGTCCCTTTCTGTTCGCTCCCACTTGACCCTCGGCCGTGCCGGGTGGCTGGAATCCAAGGCCACGATGGTGGAGGAACAGGCGGTGTCCACCGTAAAGCAGGGACCCCGGAGCGAGAAAACGTGCGAGATGCGGCCTGGCCGGGGGCGCGCAGTGTGCAGCCTAAACAATCCATGCTCGCCCTCCATTGTCAAATCACATGTCTATGAGTCTATCTGGTTGTGAGTAGTGCTCACTGGTCGCATGACTAGTTCCGGATAAAACAACTGGAATTCAACAAACAAGTCTTCCGTTACGATGGGCACCTCCCAAAAACCAAAGTCGAGACCCAAAGCAAATCAGCATGCTGGATCTCAGCATGGATCCAACCATTGGACCGTCCACACACACACACACACCCAGGACATTTCCCTTCGCCTATAGGTATAGTATAGTATGTAGATCCCCAGGGCAACCTTCCACACTCACTCAACTTCCATTTGCCTGGCCATCACTTCGCACCTGAGAGCCCTGAATAGGCGAAGCCAATGTTGGAGAAAGGCCCAAGCCTCAAATTCAACTGTTCTCGACTTGCTCCAATTGACCGAAAACACTTTTTTGCACTGAACCTTACTTAATTGAGCAGGCGCCTACTTAATTACATAAGGGCTAAACAAACTACTAGGTAGATCTAGGTTGGTCAACGGTGGAGGAGGAGCGCGGATTCGGAAACTAGAACGGGTCTGAATCGGATATTCTGAATCGGGTCTGTGAAATACGGATATGTCCACGCTACATCAACAGAAACATTTCATTAGATCCCCCCACCCCCAGTTTCTGAATCGGATAGTTTCTGAATCGGCCAGTTTCTGATGAATCGGCAGTTTCTGAATCGGCCAGTTTCTGAATCGAGGGAGTTTTTGAATCGGGACACTCTGTAGTTTCAGAATCGCAAGTTTCTGAATCGTAGTTTCTGAATCGGAGCTAGTTTCTGGATCGTCTTCTGTTCCTACTAGGTCACCTACTACTAGCTAGGACGCAGGATAGCTCACGCACTATTCATTTGGTTCCTAGAGTCCTAGTCATTTCCATTGATGCAAAGAACGTCAATGAGGACCTTTTCCGATTGGAACAGCGTTGCGGTGCTACCTGTGCAGCCTTTTCTTCTGAGAAAACGACCCTAATTACCCTGACACGGTCACTAAAAGTGTCTTGAAGTCATGGATTTTTCATGGTGACCGAGCTTAACGCCTGTAGGAGCCGCTATGGATCCTGTAATTAGTTGGACCCTGAAGAGTCCAAGATTATTCCAAGTCCATTAGCCCTGAAACAACCGTCTTTCTAGATGAAGACCTTGCTTGGGTTCTTCTTGGTCACAAACACTAGAACCCCTCAAACAAGGTAACTACTCGCTAGGCATTGCGTCAAAAATCCTCCGTGCAGCTTGGTGACCCTTCGGGGTCCACATCGTTTCCACCCAGGTTACAGCAGCCCACGAAAACACCACAGTCCAGGCCCTGCAAGGACTCCTGTCAGAAGATTGTTGGAGGGGATCGACCTGGAAATTCAAGTCGCACACACACACACACACCAAAACATAAGGTGGTTCCCAAAACCTGGGACCATAAGTGTTCAACGATGTACACATTCAACCAATCGAAAATGACACAACATACCCTGGTGGTGGTCATCCAACTTGAAGTATTAGAGGTCACCGCAAAACAACATGGGTCATTTGAGTGAACAAAGGTACAGAACTAATGTATACATCTCCAATCAATAGACTACTGACTTGCTATCCATCACATTTTTTGGGCTGGGGTCTGCGTTGCATGCCCTCGGACCAGGGGTTATTCTGTGGCTCAGAAAGAAGACTGAAGGACCCGCAGGTTTCAGTCTATGTCTTTTTTGGTCAGTGGGTTTGGATGGCACACTATGTCTAAACCATAGCCATAGCATGCCATAGCCATTTGGCCATGGCTTACAACTCACAACGCTTCACAAACTCGGTGAACCCCTAAGGCCAACGAAAGAGGTCGGGGCATGTGTACTCACTCAGTTTTGACTCACCTCTAAAATATTGCATCCTGAGGCCACCGTGGTATGCACTGCACAGCTAGACAAGAAACAACACCACAACATAGAATTGGTTACCTGTAAGTTCTTGGTGATCTTGGTCGGGATTCATCAGGGACCTTATACTGTACAAGGTCATGATAGGGCGTGGGCTGGTAACACAGTACTTCTTTGAGGCAGTAAGCCACTGGAAGTGGTATCTTGGCAACTACCTCCCTGACTCTTGCTCATTTGGAAAGCCCAAACAACAGCACAACTGGTGCTCCTTGTCCATGCCGCCTGCATGGAACGCCTCGTAACCTCGGCCGAGTGTGGAGCGAGTTGTGTGGGTGATTCAAGAGGGATCTGGGAGTATGAGCGATCCACATGATGATCACTTCAAGTTGTCAGATCTGGGCAGAAGATCAATGAACGCGCCTCCACTTTCATTCCAAACTCAAGGCTTGAGTATAGCAACTCGAAATGTTGAATGCTGAGATGCTTTGAGAATCTCAGGACTTTGGGATATTGAAGAAGACTCACAGGACTGGAAACAACATTCTCTCTCAAATGGAAGATACTCATTGACCTCCCTGGTACAGCAATGCTGCATTTGCACAGGGCGGCTAGTGGCCACGTGGTTGCCCACCACAGTAGTGCACCATTCACTGAAATCCTCCAACCGTCATCCTGGATGTTCTTCGACCCAAATTGGAAACACAGCTCAGCTTTCTGCTCACACGGCATACATGTGAAGATCTACCCCGCTGGATCCAACTACAACCTCCAAACACCACCATTTCTTGGAGAAATTGGACACCAACAAATATGGTCCTATGGTCATCTGTCAAACCACAAGATCTACCCAGAAATCCATTTCCCACACCTGACCCACTCACTTTGGAGAGATTGATCTACCCCGTCTCTGAGGTTCACACTGATCTCCAGTGCCAACCACCTCAGGCGCATCGTTTTTGAATGTTTTCTGCAGAACAAGAGCATCTTTGAGCGGAAACCAAATGGATGCGGCTGAAATAATCAGACCCAGAACCAACAAAACTGACAGTATCCACCAAAGCAACTGATGTAGAATGGTAGAATCAGGATTTCACTCTTCCCCAAAAAAACAACACACGAGGATTGTGGTGAGTAGCTCAGGAAGCTGAGGATCACACACACAGCGTCCATAGCCGGTTGACCATGCACCATGTCTCTGTGTATGCCACACGGCATGCACAAAAGTCCCACCCCTCCAAAAATAGATATAGTTATATATATCATATAACTATACTATATATAGGCATTGGTGAAAAACAACACTACTAGCCGTCCCAAGTGGCCCACCACTCCCCACAGCCACGGCACTGGTGAGGATCCATCGCCCGCAGCTCTGCCTCGGACACTCCGAAGAAGTCTCCGTCGAAGTGCTCGATGCCTGGAAGGTACAAAGTTTTTTTTTTGGCGTTTTGGAAAGGTGCAGGAGGCAACAAGTGTTTTGAGATGTTTTGAGCCGGTTCTTCTTGAAGACAAAACCCGTAAGACGGGATATATCATTCATTCGTATTCCTGCAATTCCACACACCATATCGTTTTCAAAGCACGACTTTTCCATACCATGGGATGTTCGGGAAAGCACGACCATGCTATTCATTTGACTCATAGCTCGAGATGGTGTGTAGGAGTACGAGGTCTGATGAATTCCTGGGACGAGCAAAATCCTCGTTGCCTCGTCTGCGGACTGAATACCATAGCAACCTCGCGCCTGGAATGAAGTGGCCAAGGCGGACATAGGTCTTGCCTGCCAAGGAGTGAATGGCAAGGGGTTTTGTTCCGAAGGGTAAGCAGCTGTTGCTCACTGCGACTTCTATGTGGATGGGACAAACAGTATACAGGTTATTGGCATAAAAGGGCCCTTTTGTAGAGAAAGCTGGTCTTGAACAGGTCCATTTTCCCCGTCTATGCTAATGACCAGTAGTACCAACCGATTCCTTCTCCAATGGCTCTAACACTTCAAACTTGTTGGTGGACTCTGACAAAGCACCAAGTGTGGCCTGGCGCGTCGACATCTGCATCGTAGTAGGCGTCCATGTCCCAGCGCTCTGGAGGCAACTCGGTGGTCGTGTCCTCAGTTGTAGCATGTCCTAGTTCTCGACAGGCGGCATATCCCCCTTTGTATCACGGCACCCAAACTAAAGCATCGCGGTTTTCACCCTAGCAAAACCAGGCTCGTAGGTGGTGAACACCTTTGTGGTGAAAGGATTGGCACTTTGCCGGAGCCTGTGACTGGAGTGCAATCCAAACATGAATAGTGATACAATAAACAATGATATTGTCTGTGTGCTTTTGTCCACCCAAACACGGCTTTTTATTGTCTTGATGGCATCGCTCACACAGAACCTACACATACACCGCCTTCTTCATAAGATGGAGGGATTGATCTACCTTTCTGTAGGGGTCGCTGACTCCACCAATGCAGCAATCTATGGGAAAATGCTACCAGTAAAAGATTCAACCTCGCTTTGTTCACCGGTGTTCACAACAAATGTTGATGTTGAATCTTGAATCCAACTCTCCAAAGCATTCAATTTCAGGATGTTCCAAGACAACAAAAGCATCTAACATCATCTATATCTCAGAGTCCTACATGTTTTTGCCCAAGCCCACCAAGCTTTTCTCTACTTCCTCGCTTGTGCCCTTTCTGCCCACTAGGCTACCCTGCCAATCCCATGCTCATGTTGTGCCAGTATTCCTTCACCTCAGCCAGTTGTTGAGCGGCGAAACAGAAATACGGAGTGTCTCAAAAAGAAAGGAAAGCATCCTGGCAGTGTAAGATTCCTAGAAGTGAACATAGATGCTTCACCTGGTGGTTTTGGGGGCAAGCAAAACTATACAGCATCTATGTAGGAGGAAAGCCACAGCTCTTGATTGCATTGGAATCCTCTATATACCAATTGGCGGCTTGAAATTGCTTTTTTGCGGCTCGGTCCAAAAAATGTCCACCTGGAGGGTGGGATGAGCATGGAACATGTTGGGACCATGGCAATAATTGAATGTCCCTAGTGATAGCCAAGTCTGGACCCCCTTGTCGCACTCCTGCAGCGGTAGTTCCAAATACCAAACGTAGACGTAGATCACCATCCGCTCCCAGCCCAAGCAACAAGCAAAGGTTTGATCCTTGGCTTTTCCCAATGCCCAATCCAAGAGTGCGCCGGGGCACGTTGTTGGTAAAGCATCCTGGATATCTTCCCGCGTGACTGGCCTCGGAGCGGTTGTTTCACGTGTGACGTCCCGTCAGAAGTCATGCAATGAGTGAGATTCATCCAGGCAAAGTATGAGAGTCTTGAGGTCGTACCATATGGATTGATCAAGTAACCCAGGATGAGATTTTCTAGTCTTGACCGCTTCCAGTGTCCATCCCATGCCACAAGGCCAAGTGGATCCTGCTGGTGTGGCCGCAGGGTACTCTTGCTGGCGTTGACGTTTTCATGACAGATGCGGGGAGACTGCAATTCGTTCACTTGTTCGACGTGGGTGCCTCAAAGAGTCTTTCGCGGCGGGATCTTTCACTTGCTTTGGTGCAATAATTCGATGCATCCTATTTGAGTAGCTTTTCACCAGGCTCCAGCCAAAAGATCTCCAGAGTGGGTCTGGCTGCGAGACTCATCTTAAGAGCTTCAAGCGCAGCGAGACATTCCCCACCCCAGGTAATTATATATATATATAGTCTAGGATTTCCTGAGCCTTCAACAGCAGTTCCCCTGCCTCCTCCAAGGCACGATGGCCAACATGGCGCCAGCGTCCATGACAACGCCCGCGCCCGCTGCGCCGACCTCGTCTTCTGCTGGGCCGACCTGGCTATCAGAGCTATATACAGAAATCTCATCTCCAATGACCAAGCGCATTAAGGTGTCTGTTGGACAGAGTGCCTCCACAAAAAAATAGTGTTGAATGATGCATCTTACATGTTGCATGTGTAGATATACAATATCTATGGCATAAATACGCATATTAGACAAACGATGTGTGCAAAACAAATGTCCCGGCCTTTTACTGGATACCCACTCACATGACCTGGCCTGTTGATAGATGTAGTCCACTAAATCGGGCACGGTGGGGTAATCGAACATCAGAGTCGAAGACCTCAGCTTCTCGACTGGCACATGTTCTGCGAGCATTTGGAGCTTCGGGCGGCAGCTCATTAGTGCATCACCGTCCTGCATCCCTGACTAGAAGCATGGTTTTGTGAAACTTGGTATCCCGGGTACTATCCTGGGTATATTCATGATAGAATGGTCTACAGTCTACAGACTTGCCCCTTCCATTCTGTTAATTCCTTCTGTTGATTCTTCTGGACGTTTGTTCTTGTTTGGTTGGTTCTTTTGATGAGACTGTCGGAATGGAACAGAGGGCAGGACCACCTAATTCGTAATTCATTGCAATGCGGTCACAGACATTAGTCGTTGGCTAGCGCAAGCAAAAAAACAACTCCATGGAATTGCTGGGTCGTACTCAAATTGGAATGAGGGCGCCCAAATATATAGCTAGAACCTTGTGTCCGGGACAACCGACTGGCAGACCAACGATTTCACCTGTCGAAGCCATCTTGTCTCACTGGGATCCGTCACAAACACACTGACAGTGGATTATCATAGTCGGTCAAGCTCCATACTAAAGATCAGTGCCCAGGGCTATTCGCTGAACCACTCTTCTAGGAGGCATCACACATCCAAGATATCACCGCCAGGAAAAATGGATTGGCCCCAGCATAATCTGCCCAGGCACAGTTGCAAACCTTCGAAGGAAGCCTGCAAGCGGTTCCGGAACTCCACCCCTGCCAAGGAATCCAGACCTCCACAGCACGCGCCGGAAAACAGCAAGGTTCGCTCGGTTCACGCTGAGGCGAGGCGAGCCGTTCTAGTGCCGCGAACACGCTGACAGACATGGAGTTGCCAAACATTCTCAAGTGTAAGACTCAAAGTATATAGTAGATTAGATTATTATAGATGATTAAACATATGGAATATGACCGGTCTCTGACTGCTTCATCTGTTTAGATGAGCCATCAAATAGTTACCTTTCCATCAGCATTGTAATATCGTGTATGTCCCAAACCTTGAGGACATGTTACTTATTGTTTCTTGTTTCATTCTTCAATAGACGAACCGTCTTTAGCACCTGATCCTTTTGTCAATGTCCATGCATTTCTGCTGCAGGATATCCGTTTTCACCTTTTCTGGCCCACTTAGTATATCCCAGGATCTCCGGTCCAACCATCTGCCGCGATTAAGTGCCAGGTTGCCCATCTCCATCAATGGCGTGGAGAGATCTAAATCGCCGGAGCCCTCCAAGACATCCTGCGTACCGGCCAGGGTTGCTTGGGGACCGCGCACACACACAAACAGTGCTGGGCTGGTCAAGGCACCTGGGGTGTCTCTTTCAGGCCTGTGACATCATGTTCTTGATGTAAATCGTTAGCTGTTAAAAACAACTATATATATACATGTGGCTACAACATGTGGGACTGTTTTATACCGAAACAAGACAAGCACGTCATGCACTAAGAGAGAAATGTTTTCCCCCGTTGACAGTTGCAATGTAGTGATTTTCGTCCGCGAGCCACTTCAGGGTTCATGAGAATGAATCCAGGAACCAAGTAAATAGTGCGAGCCTAAGCTATCATGCGTCCTAGCTAGAGCAGGTTACCTAGTAGTTTGTTTAGCCCTTACTTAGAACCGCCTATAACTATAACATAATAAAGTAAGGGTGACGGCAACGGGCTAAAACATAAAAAACACTCAAGTGTAGGGGCAGGCTTTGGAGGCGACCCCCATATCCAGCCTTAGTCAGCCTCAAATAGTTGGATATCTGAGGAGCACCCAGTGCATCGAGCTTCCACAGTGGCACCCGCGGGAAACAGCTACGAACCTAGCTCTGGAGGGTCCCTGGTCTGTCCCTACAGGAAAGTGGTATGTGGTCCAAATAGTCATCTTCAGGCAAAGCAAGATTGTATAGGATAAAGGATATCGATCAGATCTATCCACGCAACAAAATAGTTATCCAATAGCTACTACAGTAGGTCTATGCTATAAGATTAAATGCAATTCGGGTACAGTAGGTCCGGGTACAGTAGGTCTATGCTCTAGAAAATGTTCAAGACTGCCCATCCTTCATTGATGGGGCCATAATAAAAGGGGTATCCCTATGATCGGAAGGATTTGTCGGGTCAAATTAGAACGATAGTCCCTGCAAAGTGACTCACACCAACACACTTATATATCCCTGTACAAAATCCATCCCTACAAATCGCAGTTGCAACTGGCGCCTTCGAACCACTGGTTGCCTAGCCACTGAATTCACTCCACTGAATTCTGAATGTGATGTCCATGAACCCCAAGACTAGTGGTAACCGCTTTGTTTATGTGTGTAGATCATCGGTCATGCAGTCAGCTGATGCAGTCCTGAAGCACACCCACCACAATGCCCTTGATGTCATCGGCGCTAACCTTGAGAACATTGTTGTAACAGTCTCAACATTGCCAGCAAAATGGAGACAGGATGTACTTGTCCCATAGTTTGGGGAGACTTATTGCACTGGAATTGCACTGGAATAGCTTGAGTTTTAAGTGCAGCTGGTGCTTTCTCTGAGAAAACCGGTGCAGGCCACACCAGGTCCAAGTAAGAAGCTATCTTTGCAGATCAGGTCTTTTTGACTTCCTGATTTCAAAGGCTGAAGCGTTTCTGTGTGTAGCTGACCCCAGACTGTTTGTCGAGACATTTTGCATCCCAAGGCACCATCGCACCAGCGGCCGCCGCCGACTTCTTGCCACCCACACTGCCGCCAAATTTGCTCAGTGCCTTTGGGTCGGGACCATAACCCCTCGCGCGGAGATGTGAGATGGAACTCGTCGTTACACATCACCGGACCCCTGAGTTGAAGTGGTAATTTGCAATATATACGTGGGGCTCTACAAATAGGCTCTACAACCTGATGATGTGACTTGGACCATAGGCTAGTGACGCGATGTGACGCGGCAAGTGGCCTCTCAAGACCTGGTCAGGTGGAGAAGCATCTCTTTTTGGCAACAAACACCCTTGGAGGCTCACGGTCAAGATCTTTGGGCAGGTCGCCCTGTCTCCACTCCAAACGCCCAAAGTGAGTCCCATTCAGCTGAGCCGCTGGTGGGACCTTGGGCATCTGCCCCAACAAAGACTTCCACTTGATGCGAGCAATGCCCACCGTGCCTGGGATAAGCAACGAAAAAACACACCTGTTCGAAGCCACATCAGCCGTCTTGGCTCGTAGGCTTTGCTGCTTGATGGATGTCACGGCTCATGGATGCTCATGGTAATTCGTTGTGTGTGCATTTCTGCGTATTTATATAACTAAAAACACAATGATGATGTTCAGGCTGGGTACATCCCTGACCGACAAGATCCGACAAACAATAAATATGTGGCCATCTTCGGCTCCGGTCAAAGATAAACTAGCCCGGGCAACATTCAATCACATATATAATTGAAATCACGGAATGATTGAGCAGCCCCCAAAGTGACCTTGTTAGGGTTCCCAAGTGGCCTTTCACTACAGGTCAAGTGACCTATCAAAAAGCCCCTTTGAACTCTTGTTTTCCTGATTGATGGCTTTCTACGGGGATAGCAGTAGTAGATCTGATGCTGGATGGGATGTCATGACAAAAGGATAAAGAGCAAAGCGTTCTTTGTTTGCAGGGAGATTTTGCAAGTCCTGCTGCAGCACCCACTATACTGTGGATGGACTTGGAACCTCATGCTGCACATAAACCATAAAAAAAAGATGTGGTTGCGCTAGTGAGACCCACATTATCCACTTCTTTGAAGAAGTAAACCCTAAGCAAACACGCCCTCAGCATCCCTCAGCCAAGAGAAGCCAACTCGCATCGAGTCCCACGCTGCCGCGCCTGCAGGCCGCAGGGCATTGTTGGCACCCAACACCAACGCCATGGCTTCCAAGCCTCGTGCCAAGTCTAAGCGCGCGATGCTGCCTGGAGCGCAGGTGACATACAGCTGACAGGCAGCTGGCAGGTAAACAAACGAGATGTTGGCGAGTCTCGGCGTGGAGGAAGTTTTGACAGCTCGAAATTGTGTTCAGAACAGTCATGAGGACGTGGACCCGCGCAAAGGATGGTTAGAATCTCCACAAATAATCCAAGACTGTAGACATCCTTTGAAAGGTCCAGGAGATCAATTGTTGGTGGACTTTGCTTGATCTCTTTTGCTGGAAAAGGAGTTTGTCTTCTGAGACTTCTGGGTTTGAAAGCTACATACTTGGAGACCACATGGCATGGGTTACACATGGGGCGAGAGGCGCATGTATACAGTTCTTTCAAAAGAGAAGCCTGACAACCATTGAAACTTCCAAACCACTGTACTTCTCCCAAGGCAGCCCTCGACTTCTCGACACACAAAACTCTGCATACACATCTGCACACCTGAAATTGCAAAGCCTGGGCGACTTATCGGTTCTATCAGCAATTGGCTGGCAAATCCCTATACCGTCTCAACATCTTGTAAGCCATCATCCACTGAGCTTTCAGGCAGCGTGTCGGAAGAAAAATGGACTTCCGGCCTTCAGAGGTGCCGGCACGTGCCGCCATGCCGACCTCCGCCCAGGGACCCCACTGCAGGGAGATGGCGGGGAGTTTCTGTGCACGCCGCCGCGAGCCGAAGCTGTCCATGAAGGCATTGGCAGCACAGTAGTTGCCTTTGAGCTTGGAAGAGGGGCGAACAAGAGTTCGCAAAAACATATTCTGAGCAAACCATGTCACAACAAAAAGCAAAGAAGTCAGACTCAGGTAACATCCACTTCGAATTTGACTGCATGGGGTCTCCAACTACTGGATACTCTGATCTTCCAGGTCGTGCGATTTTGCACAGCACACCGAGGTGGTGGAGCTGTCTCGATCCGTTCATCAAAGCTTCAGGCCTTGTGCTACAGAGCCGATCATGGCCGCCACTGAGGAGAACAACCACATCTCCTGTAGTTGCGGTGCATGTAGGTTTGTCTTGAAATCGACAAAGCCCGGGTATTCGGGTGGATTCCAACCCATTCATGAAACATCTAAGTTCCACTACCAGGCAGGGGAGTCTACCTACTTTGAGACATACACATGAAGCCTTGAAACCACTTTATATACCCGTTGGCATATCTTGGAGGGTCCTGTATGTGAACAAATGGCGCGCACTCGCAGGAAGGTTTGGAAAGGACTGAAGGAATTAAAATACATATCAACTACCTTACTTACGGATTGCAAAACACATGCACTATGTACCCAAACTTAGGGCTGAGTGCCATCCACTCTTAGACAAAGCAGCCGCGGATGAGAAGTCTTGGGATCAGTGACTGGCCAACACCCCAACCATCCCCAACCTACCTTCATCTTGAGCTTTCCGGAACCAGTCGGGTGACTGATCTCATGATGACTCAGTGCGTGAACTTGACGTGCACTGGCTTGGGAGTCCATACGATGATTAGAGTTTGCAGCGACAAACTTTTTAAACAAAATCCCACCCGAAACGGACCGTGACAGAAGTAGATCTATCAACCAAAAAAAATATTTGACCTAGACTTGATCCTGGACTATGTAGATTTTTGCTACTCACTATCAACCCCTTTGAGATTCCACCCCTTTAGCCCTCTGATGATTAACTAGGATTCCAGGCCTTCTGGGCCCACGCCCATAACCCTGACCATCTTCAAGGCTTCCTCGCAAGCGACTCCCAGCACGAGGTCCTATGTGTTGCGACATGTTGCTGATACTGCTCCGTCCTCAAGAGGGAGGGCCAAATCCACGGCTGCTGCATGGAGGTTCAAAGACCCATCCACCTGCGCAGAGCTTTGGAGATCCCCTCAGCTATGTTTCCAACATGTCCAAATCCTGCATCTGGTTGCTGCTCATTTGTAAACTCCTGGCCGAGGCCAGGCGATCATTCAACCTGGAGGGTCGGATGGAGGTACCACAAAGGACCTTGTGAGTCTGATTCTCCAAACCTTGGCCGAGCAGACCAACTTGAGGTTCTGCGAGCTCTGGTCTTTGATCAACCCATCCGCCAGGGTGCCCGCGGCATGGACGATGCCCTTCACCTGCACTTGGATCCGAGTGGTGGTGGTCTGTTTCGGAGTAGACGAAAGAGAGCAAAATTTGATTCAACATTTTTTGTTTGCGGTCTTCAGATAAGCCCTATTTCTTACAGTGTATGACCTGTCACGTGTCTTCCTATCTTCTTACTGAAATCATGGATATCAATGTTGCTTTCTCAATGACCCAGGTTTTCAGCGGTTCGAAAAAGTCAGCTGTGGGCCGTGGGCCCATGTTTGCCTTCAGAATCCAAATGTCGCACTTGCGTGTGGCTCGACCCACAGTGTTGACTGACTCATTGCCGCATCCTCCTAACTACAAAAACGTGCGTCTCAGGGTCAGTGCATTGGTTCCACATCTTAGCCTGATTTAAACACCTCACACCTGCAACTTCTGTCCAGTCGCCAAATGCGTCTTCTTGAGATCTTCGAAGACCCGATGCACATCTGAGAAGGAGCCTCAGTCTTCTAACTCCCGTGAGTCGCACTTCAATGGCACCCTGGAAGCTTTGGCTGACCCCCCTAATGAACAGAATGGGACAATTTGCCCATTGTCCCATTGTCAACCCATGTGGAATATATGATAATATATGTACTATAAGTTGAAATAATAGTCGAATAAACATACCCCAGCCCTTGGTCATGAAGAATCCCAACAAGGTTGTTTTCCTGCACTTGACGAACACCGAAAACCTTGATCACAACTCTGGCCATATCTCACATGAAATGGCGTGCTCCACCACCCAAAACAGGAGTGCTGCACTGGATTTTGGAGCACAGGGTATAGCACCTTCAATTTGATTGCACACCGCAGTTGATCGTCTATCCCTTTGGGACGTTTGACGTCTATCTTCCACACTTCGAAGGCAGGCAACACTTCTGCCTCGACCAAATAAAACATGCATAGGCATATGATATGATGTGATCATTGTGAAACTGAGTGTATCCCGTCTTTAAAGAAGCCAATACATACAACAGACTGGCAATTCTCTTCTTTCTTCTGACTGGGCAGCAACAACTTCTTGGTTCGACAAATTCCCTTACTTGCTCCCCATCCCATCCATCCCAAACCAACACCATCCACGCAACTGATGTCGCACTTGGTCGCACAAAATGTTGCGTTGTCCATCTTGGCGAACTGGCGCTCCAACTTCCGGAATGCCGCCTCTCACAAACGCAAGGGAAGTGCTCCAGGCAGGGCCTTTCCATAGTGGGTTTCAAACAGTCAAGCTATCCAACTAAAGGGCTCAGTGGTATTAGTAAGTGAATTTAATTATATATTTGGCGGCCAACTGTAGCCAATATGTGTAATTAGCCAAATTGATCAGATTGTGGACCGACTCCTGCAGTCTTTCAGGTTTATTTAGATTTTTCAAACCAATTCTTCCATGTTCTTCGATGTTTCGGTTTATTGGTATGATCAACCCTTGGTCTCATCTCCAATGGGTACATTCAGCGCTGGACAGCGAACGGGCCTTGGAATCCGCTGGAGGTTGTCCACTGCGTGAGAGCAGGGCGAAATGCCTGACAGCTTCGCGGTCACATCCACAACCATTCCCGAAACCAATTCCTAATTGCCTACTATATAATATACTGTATTGGGATTCCCTTTAAACGAAATGTTTGGGTTCTTCAGCAAAATCTATCACTCGCTCTGTCAGTAGTTATAGGCAGGTGTGAGTATTCTAGATGTGGAACAAACCCCGGCGTCCAGTGCATATGCACTTCATAGCCCTGCCTTGCGCCCAAGGAAGACATCCACTCGGCAAAAACCAAACCCAGAGCTCCTGTACCACCAGTGACCTCAGGACACGTGGCGTCGCCCCCAGCCCGTTGGGACAAAACCCAGGTGAAGATCATTTGAACATCAGCAAGACAAATGGCATGGAAGATCATGGATGGTAGTAACATGGGCATTACTCCTAGTAGCAAGAAATCAAGAAGCTACTAGGAATAATGCCCTTGTTACTGGTAGCTTCTCACTACTAGTAGTAATGCCCTTGTTGCTAGTAGCTGCTTGGCATGGAAGACAGTCAACTTGATGACATTTCTCCATCTGGATAGACTGACACGATCGGTTCGGCCAAACTGAACAAAACCACCACTGAGCCAAGGCAGCCAAGGCTCCACATACATGGCATCCTCATCGAAGCCTCGAATGCAAAAATGGACTATGGCTGGCCAGCATTGATGGTGCGGAGTTCAAAGAAGACTTGGTCCGCCTTCCTTCCTGATGCAGGAAGACATCCTGCACTTGAGAGCCTCACAAAACAACTGTATTTATAGACTTCTAGACTAGAGTTTCTTGAGTGTTCTGGGTGTTGCCAGTGTCCTTCTTCCAAAACACACAGTTCGCTCCTCCCAAGTGTTCCTGGTTTGGGATGGAGATCTTTTCTTACCACGTGGGACCTATGTTAGGACCTGGGGGGGTTGTAACTCTCTCCTTCAAACAAACTTCCCCACACCGAGGGGCCTCATTTAAGGATTTTCATGCTTGAAGAAGCTCTTCCTGTCCATTTATGCTTGGCAAGGACCCCAAACCCTACGCCTCATTCTTCAACTACAGTATATTTGCAGGTTCCTCGCAATTTTCGCCCTTCTTGTCCACTTGTCTCCCAATCCTCTTCTTCGCCAGGGACGTGGTGACTCCTTCTCCACCTGCTGCAAGCGCTGCGTGCAATCTGCCAAGCGTGGCATCCAAAGCTTCAAGCTGCCTCAATACACAGCGTCAGCAACTTGGCTCTGCGGTGGATGAGAGGATGGTGGTGGTCGGGTGACTCTCAGAAGGGGAAGGTGACAGTCCCGAAGTACCACTCGGCAAGAATCAATCAACTACGAGTAGTGCAGGCTCGGTGACAATTTCTAAACACCAGCGCTCAATCAAATCGACTGTGGGTTCAGTAGATGAGATGGTGGTCTGCCCTAATTGGTGAAACGGTCATGTGGATACCCGAGCCCTGCAGAGTTGCTTCAAAAGCACTGTTAAAGCACCCTCAAGGGTTGGTGGGTGACTAAAACCAAACACGAGAAGACTCTAAAAAAGAAGGGCTAAGTCACCTAGAGTCCACTCCCTACTTCACGCTGCGCGTGTTCTACAAACACTTGATGTTCATCCATTCTCATAGTTTGCATGAGTTTGACATTCAAATAAATAGTTCGAAGGCTTCTTCAAGGAAGCTCCCCCAGCCTCAGGCTGGGGAGCTTCGTTGAAGAAGCCTGAGCCCTCCATCCCAGTAGCTTCTTTGAAATACGCGTATTAGCTTACTTGAGTCTACCTCCTCTTTTAAAAGCCGTCAGTCCATCCTTCCCCATCATTCCTTCGCCAGCCTTCATGGTACCGCTGAGCCAGTTCTGGCTCAGCCGTGCCCTTCGCGGCCACGAACTGCAGCTGTTCGGCCAGCTGCTGCGGAGACCTCTCTGCTGGGAAGGACACCGGGTGGCAGATGGGAAAAAACTTGCCGTTGGAGGCTGCTGGTTGAGAAGAGAAATTCTAGCTCTAAGGGATGGGTGGTCTTCAGTTGGATTGAACACTTGAGTTCGGCAAATGATAGGTAAGCGGCCACTCTGGGGAGCCTAATTCCTGACCTGTGAGCCTGTGACAGAACTAATATTGATCTAGAACCCACCTGCCGTCTTTTCTCTTTTGGATAGGAAAAGGCCATAATTGAGCTCTAGGTATATTTTGTGGCAAGTCAAGAACATTCAAGAACCATCAAAAGCTCTCAGCAGAAAAACATCCCACCACCAATGCATGGCCTTGCCCTCCAACTGGTCTTCGCGCGCCTGCAAACGGCTTCCTCCAGATCCAAGGTGAGGGCAGCTGGCAGTTCTGGGTGTTCATTTCGGAAGGCCTGGACAGCGAACCGCTCCACCCAAAATCGGCCGTCTCCGCGGGGGGAAGAAAGGTGATGTGGTGGCATCGTAACACAGATGTGGAAACCTCAGGTGGACTTACCTCACAAAGTGCGAGACTTGACCAGTCGGGGTTACACATCACTCTTGCGTCTGTAAAACACCCTATTCGTCTGTAATGAGGAGATTGACTCAACCAATGAGGTCAAACAACCCAAAACACACGCGCACACACACACACACACCGCACATCAGCTCACAACATTCAGCATCTCCCATTCGCCTTGGCCAAGCCCCAAAGCCCTGCATGGCTGGCTACTGTAGTGGTCTCTGCCAAGTCCTCGTCCAGCACTGCATTGGCCAGGGAGGTCACGAGGCACAAGGGGCCCTCAGGCGCCTCACAGAGCTGATATGGGATGCCCATGTGGGCTGATCTCAAAATAGGGACCCATCAAAGAACCGCAAGTGTGCCACCATGCCATCATGAAATGGTGACTGAAATGGTGTGACCTTCGAACAGCCTGCTCTAGAACTAAGGCCAAATTGTGCAGTTGTCGAAACATGTTTGTACAATATAATTCCATCACATACATTGATTGGGGAGCCCATCGCTTCCCAGACTTTTGGACAATTTTAGACTTTAGCTTGGAGGGGAGGCATTGCTTTCCTTCCATCAAACATACCCGGACAAATCATGAATGCTTTGTATTATCTTTAGTCTTAGTAAGGCATCGCTTTCGGGGGGCCCATCGCTTTCCTAGTATTTGTTGTTGCAAGATGTTGAGATTGAAGGTGGCTCATGTGAGTGATGGACAAAATCTCTGGCTAGAGGGACCTCTCGGTGGGATGGTTAGGGTTGGCCCCCTTCCTCCTTCTAAGATTCTGAAGCAACGGGGGGGGCTGACGCAGACCGCAGATTTGTCCAATCCTCATGACTGTCTTCTGCTCGTCATACCGTGTTTTGACGGCTACTCCAATAGAAAAAACCTGTTCTCTTCCACAAAACCATGGGTCTGAAAGGATGCACGTTCACGTTCAAGTTGGGACCTTGTAAACGGATGATTATATTCACTAAGACCCAAACATTGCGAATTTCCCTGCTGAGCAACACATTTAAACATGTGTGGTATTTTAGGGGTGCAAGACTTTCTCCCTGAGTGCTCACATCGGTGCTGGTCCCCCGCGGCCACATCCTGCCTCCCGTGCCACAGCCTGCATCAGGCGCATGGTAGCATCCAATACCTGAGGAAGAGAGACCCAGCAAAGAACATGAGGAAGCGCTCTGTTTCCTTCTGTCACCGCGGATTTTTTTTGGTGACATGTTTGACCCATCTTCCCGCGTTGTAATTGTAGTGTAGAATCATCCACGATGGGAAGGCTTTGACTCAGCAACACCACAACCAGCAGATCTGCTACAATCAAGCCGCGTCCAAAACCTGCTGCGCTGCTGCTTGGGCATGTTGAGGTAGAGCCACTGCACCCGCCAGGGAAATGATCCTGCTAGTAGGCCAGTCGTGGCGCATGAAACTTGCTCCAGTTTTAAAGACCAATGCAACGCCCCAGGCGTTGAACCGTTCCGTTATTGACGAGAATATTGAAACACACAAGCGATTTACACTGCTGAGAAAGAAACTTAAACAACAAACAATCACCTCTCTTGATTCAATTGGCAGCATCCAACTGGGGGAGAAACATCTTTTTCCAACCGTTTTGTATCTGGCAGGTTGCCGTGTGCATGAGGAACAAAGTGGGTGGCGCAAATCATCGCAAATTACAATCACACAGTATCTAAAGAACATCTTACTGTATGATACTGATTGATACTGTATATAATATATGCGTACACGTGTTGAGCAATTTTCCGGGCGAAACATGAATTCCAGCCATCCAGCCTGTTGTAATCTGTGAGTTTGCCCCAGCTGTCTTCATCCATCAGGCTGGCATAGCAATGATCGCCCAAATGTTCCCGAAGACCATCAAGGAAGCCTTGGCCATGACTGACTCGTCCTAATTCCAACAAGCAGTGAATCCGTCGTCGACCAAAAGTAATAACAGTGAGAATTAAACTATGGATGACATGGAACACTGTGCTTTTTAAAGCACAGTCTTATACCATCTTAATGCATCTGGTTCTGAGTCACGGTTTGCACAGTTCAGGGACTCGTGTCTCCTTTTTGTTGGGGGTGTCATGATCATGTGCTGTCTGGGTTCGGAAATTTGCCCTTGACAAACGCTGTCTCGAACCCATCTGACCTCATTTTGATCCCATGTTTTGAGATGTTTTGAGTAGTTGGTACTCCACAGTGGTCTCATTCAGGTTCCTGTATCGATCCATCAAACTTTGGATTCACGCTAATTACGTGAGACTCTAGGGCACCGTCTCTAGTCTATAGGTCCTTGTTTTTGGTGCTCACTTGGAATCAATGGCAGCATTTTACAACATCTGTGGAAGGTGCAGAGTTGATCCTTCTGCAAGGCTCTGCATCTGCGTTTGTGCGACCCAAGAGTCCGTTGGAAGCTTGATGGTGAAGCACAAGCCACTTCTCATTCTCCAACTCTGGCGCTTCCTCCTCAGCCACCTCGGGTGAATTGAACACATTAGCCACCTCGGGTGAATTGAACACATTAGACTGGCGGCTGCGGGACTCGGTTCTTTTTCAAAACTCCGATTCTGTGTCCAAACCAACTGTTTGGTCCATTTCTAGGTGACCTTTTCTGGGAACCACATTCGGGACTCTGAACTGGGCCAAACTCTCTATATAATTATACACCAAAGCCCGCCGCCCCCTCACCTGGCTGCGTTCTTGACAGCAGGCACCGAGACTGGAATCCAATGAGCCCTAAACAATTTGCGTAAACATTCTGATAGCGTGTGTTACAGCCACATTCAAGGCGACAATCCAAAAAAGACATGGGAAGGAGTGCCAGATCTCATTTTAGGTCCTAGTGGCAGGCTGCCACTCGATCTCGTAGATCTTCTGGTCCTTGGAGTTCGCACTCGAAGTAAGTGCGAACAGCTAAGTAATGGGTATGGGGTGGACAAATCTTCGTGCACTAGAAATGCCATACAACTGTTGGATTCACTGCATGTCTCACTGTTCTCAAGAAGATATATGCACAGATCCAGCTTTTATATCCCTTTCTACCAAAGGGTGCTGGGATGTCTCCTCATGTTGCACAACATTTATATATTTGCTGTGAAACCAGTTTTTTGGCGCTGAATCCTCGGACAACTGTCTCATTAAGAACGCCGAAAGAAACATATCCGCCATGATGCACCAGGGTCATGGGTCTGTTGATTTTTGAGGCAAGAGTCATTTTTACATAGCTTCACACAACCCGGTTCCTGGTCCCTCTTCCCCACGAGAAACTCCCAAGAACTTAAGGACCCCACCAGATCTGACCTCAAATGTTCTGACCTCAATTTGTTAGAACCTCCCCGCGGTGAGTTCGCCGACAATAAACAATGTTGGGCCATGAAGGCATGTTTCGCCAAGTCCAATGCGCTGGTACCACATAGTAAAAGCTCAAGAGTGGGCAAAAAGCAACCAAGCTGTTACACACTCAATGTTACACTCAACCATCACTCAACCCACTGCGAGGTCGGACTTCAAATGAGAGTGGTAGTGATCAAGGGAAGAGTAGTCGTAGCAGTCCAATCCTATTGTTCCTTGGATTGCGCCTGAGATTGCCCCGCTGGCGCCTCTGATTCAGTACGGCCCAATCATTAGGGAATTGATCCAATGTGGCCCAACGAACCTTTTCCGCGTTGATGTCTCTCGCTGTGTTCCGGCAGCACCCCATGGTCAGCATAACATGCCGCCACGCAGTGGCGTCGTGCAATGACGTCACATGAAAGTCGGCGCAGGGCTCGGATCGCTGGATCGGCAACCGTTGAGCAAGCAAGGCACAGATTTGGAACGCAGCCTTTTGTTGTTTTGCCATTGTGTATTTTCAAAGCCGATTTCTCCAGCTCTTTCCTGCACCAGCAAATGCACGCCTTCTAAGTGCCAAATCTAAGGAGTGACTGCCATCACAGCGATGACCTTCTAAGAAGAACCCGTCAAAAGAATCCCATGAATGCTGACGCATTCACCTCAATCCCCTACACAGCTCACGCGTATCACTTGGAGGCCTTCCAGGTCCCACGATGCAAGAAGTGTTCGTTGGTCCAAGATGGTCTCAACAAATACTGCGTATGGGAAGGACCCTAAGGACCCCTACACAATCATGAAACCAGAGCATCCCAACCTTCAGTAGATGGTCAGGAAGATTAATTTGCCGCGCTAGTTTCGGGAATCTCAACACAACTGGACAATCCATTGTTGTGTTTGTGGTCCGCACAACAAAAAGGCAAGCGTTCTGTATTTGTGATGCCCGACCTGGGAGTAGACAGTACTGTCGGAAACCGCAAAACCTTCGCAAGTTCCCTTCTACATCCTTCTACAAGGTTCTTCAAAGTGGTCTCTTTGGCGCCCCTGAGTGATCTGCTTGGGGTACGGTCCAAGTGAAGTCCAACTGGTCTCAAATTGGAGCCTCATACGGTTGCTTGAAGAACCACTCCCGAAGTCTTGAGTGCCTGCATTCCACCACATTGCCACACAAAGAATTGAAACATCAGGAATCACCATTTATTATTTACTATAATTATACTCCTTTGGGGTCTCCTGGTTAATTGACATTTGACATGAAATGTTCACTCTGGGAAGAATAACATGTTGCATTAAACCCTCACGAATCTACGCTATGCACTGAACTCCATCAACCTGGCAAACCACCATGGATTCAGGTCAGTGGCTGCCCCAAATCCCTGCTCACCATCGCTTCCGGTCCAGCACCTTCTTCAACTTCAGCTTGATGACTTTGGCCTGGTGTTGAAGGGACCCCGAGCTGGGATAAAGTTATACTTGATGTGTTTCTGTTTTTCTGAGTCACTGTTACACTTATTGAAGAGGTCGCTGCAAGAAAGCTAAAAGACTCCGGAGATGCTTTGGAACTGACCTGAGCCAGTTCGAGCCAGTTTCTGTCCATCCAGACCAGTAGTTCAAAGAGATTGTAGCCATCAATCCAACCCCCACGAACTGAGCCACCGCAACGCTATCTGAAATCCACTGAATTGCGGCATCAATTCTTCAATATTCGACAGAAAGCAACCAACAAACTTCCAACAAAACCCTGGATCAATAAATTTCCGCCAAAGTCCCGGAGCTTACCTGCTTCTCAAGCTTCTTCAATGGCCAAACTCGAAGGGGGCTCTCGCGGCTGCCGGGGCCAACCTTGGACGAAGCTTTCACGAGGCCCCGCGGGTTTCAGGATCCACATATATCCGACACCTCAGAAACTCTGTGGGACTGTGTGGGGGGTGTGAGGTAGGTGGGTTTGGGGGTGTTAAGAGGCAGCATTGATCTTGTTATGCTCAATCTGACAAAAAGACTAAGGGAGTTCGCAGTTCGCAGTCTTCTTTTCAGTCCATTCCATCCGCTTTCATGATTTTTGGATAGCGTGCACTACAAATCCCAACAAACAACTAGGTGGACGAACACAAGCACTTTTCCCGGTGGTGAGCATATTTGCCAAACAAGGTGTCCCTCACCCGCCGTGACATGTTCTCACCAAATTCCGCGTAAAGACGTCCAAATCACTATGCCATCCACCACCCAACATTGGCTCTCCGGCCCTCATGACCCTTTTTTGGAAAGACACATCTAAATCTGTTCCACAGAAATTAACTTATAAACAATACCAGCTCGAAAACTTGGACATCGAAATATTCAAGTCAATACAATCAGAGTATATATTAGTAACAGGAACTATAGAAAACAGACCAGCCATTCCAGCTGTCTTTGGAGCCTACACTTAAAAGTTAAAAGGTTGAGCTTCGCCAGGACACCACAAACAGTCCTGCTCCTCAATCCAAGGAACGCTAGCGCTGTGATTCGTCTTTGCGTGGCCTAGCACAGCCAACCACTAGCACTTCAACTCCTACAAATGGCATTAGGGACCAAGGCAAACAGTAGACCTAAATCCTGAGGTAGTCTTACCACTTGTGGGTTGTGGGTGACTGACCTGACTTTGAACTTTGAGAACCAACGAATGCAACCTTTTTCAGGGGCTCCTCCGGGCAATCAGACCGGAATGCATGGCGTGCGATGGCAAAAAGCATGTAGTTTTATGTATATAATATCGTTTTGTCCCGTTTAATCCCAACTTGTCGATGAGGTAAAGAGTCCGCTGAGAGAGCTTTCAGGTTTACCCTCTCAGCTCTAGCTGTAGGTAACTACTCAAACTCTTCCTGAACCCCCCCAAACACCATTCACACACGTCTGGAGGACACCATGAGACACCTTGCATCGCTACACTGCGAATGGCGCTCTGCAAGCTCTGCCGGTTGCTTTAACCGCTGTTTGTTTAATGACTATGCCGACTCGGCGTTGCCGACCCACCTCGAGGTCGCCTCAGCAGTCGGTCCGGCTTCTCCGCACTAGGTGGGACCTGAAAGCCTCAGCGACCGAGGAAAGCTGGTCATAGTGGCCACATGGGGCGCCATGCGGATGAGGGGAGGCCATCAGAATCCTTCTCAGTGGTCATTCTCACGTTGCAAGGATTTGGAGCAGGGTTGGACCTCAAATATGAGGTAATTAGTTTCAGGATTCATAAGCCCAGGATAGCCCAGGCTCGCTTGTGGGCGTGCAAAGTTGAAGACACCTCCAGGCACAATGCTTGTTGACTCATGCCACCGATGGTAGAGCGAAACCCCATGATCTTCAGGGTCCGGGTGTATGTATTAGACATTACAAGATATCCCGGATAAGAAACAAGCAACATCTTTGTCACAGAAGGCCGTAGGCCCTAACAATCAAACACTCGAAAGGGAGTTGTACGACTTCCAACAATGAGCATGACCATGGGCATGAAACGCTCTCCACCTGCCCCCAAAAAGAATGCAAGTCATTTAGCAACTGAACCATGGGGAATTTGTCAACGTCATCGGTTTTTGCATCCGAGGTCCTTTTTTTGTGTCGTGAACTCATATGAACTCCCATCCTCAGTTGGTCGCCCTTTTCGTCGGAAGACCCAAGCTTGCCAGCTCGTCCTTCACCTTCTTGTCCGCTTTGGCATGGCATCCGCACGCGAAGAAGACGATTGAAAAGCCTCGGGACTGAATCACTGCAAAAAGTGAATGATGGCTCATAGATGCCTTGATCAGAAATGGTCAGATTTTTTCTCGAAACAAATCGTTGCTTGATCTCCAAGTGATTTCCAAAAAGCTAATCAAATTAAACAACCATGTTGACGTTGTATCTCTACTTGAACATCTGAGCAGTTCCCTGGGCGTCTGAGGTAGATCGCCAACTCTGTATTCATATATATATATACACAGAAGTAGTATGATTTGAAAGATAAACATCGCTAAATCCTCACCCCAAATGCTTCAGTTCAAGACGAGTAAATCCTCCTTCCAATGCAGTTCGTCTATGCTTGCGACTCCTGCTCATATCACGAGCTCTCTCTTAATGACAACGGCCATAGATATCAAGATCCCCAAATGTTTCAAGCATGCTGACACGTTGAACGGCTTCAATTTTGGTAGACTCAGTGGTTCTTGTGGTTCTTTCAACCCTTCTTCTCCTGTGCGTGTTTGGTAATGCTAGTGTGGAGCTCTGCGCTGACACCCACAAGAACTTGATCGAATTAGACTTTGAAATACTTTGAACACATTCGTAGGTGCCCTGTGTCCCTACCAAACTCTCCATGGTCATCGCACTCGCGATTTGAATCTTGTTTACCTTTGAGTTCTATCGCTCAGGCCTCAGGCCTCAGAGTGTTCCGCAGGAAAAAGTCCATGATCCCCAAAGCGATCCGGACGTTGCAAATGTAAGCCATGCTTCCCTTCCGAACCAAAACAACAATAGTTTGACAACAATTGATAAAGGTACTCTATGATATCGTACGATATTGTACTTTATATACACAGTTAGGCCAC